CCACTCACGTGGTAAATATGGCCACATGCAAGGGTTTTGTTTATTGTTTATGTTAATTTTATAAAGAAAATATTCTGTGTTAATAAACGTTATACATTATAGTTGCTGGCTATGATAAAACAGTCCCCCCTACTCACCACCTAAGTGTAAAAAATTACATAATATGTTAGGTGGGCCATATTTACCTCCACTACTAAAGTGTATTGGAAGATAAAACAAAACCTGCTCATAGAAATACAGTTAAATGAAAAGCGCAGATGAATTTTCAGTATGATGGTTTGGTTTAGGATTTTTTATTTCTTTATTTCTCAGAAGCCAGACAAAATACGCTTTCAGGGTTAGAAAATAATTGCATAAAATTAGCATCACATGGCCAATATGAATTTATATTACACTAGACAAACGTGTTTTTTAACCTTACGTGTGTAATCAGTGTAACATGAAAAATCGCAATGAATAAATCATGGATTAATAAATTGATAGATTATCCAATTTGCAGCATTCCAGCGTTTCTTAAACAAGGCGAAATAACGCCCACTGTGAATGCCATTATATCTGCAATATCCCCAGCGCTTAGCGAAACACGTGATGGCTGTTGAATACGTAATACACGGCATAAGTAACTAAACTAATAACTAATAACTATTTATTATTTTTCTAAATCGTTACTATCACATTGACACTTCACCACACGCAAGAATAAATCTGTCCTGTTTGTGAGAATCATACAACAACGCCCATACTGCACTCAACTCCTCGTCGGATGTAAGCCACGTTCTTTTAGCAGTAAAAGAAAAAATCAAATTCGCATGTCGCGAAGTCAGGACTATAAGGACAGGGATACTAAATTCCTCGAAAATCTGTTGAGCTGAATGAACGTGATATTATTGTATACGACAACTGGCAAAATGGACAATTGGTTAACGGTGATAACCTGCCCATATTTACATCTGACATGTGTCGGTATGCTGTGCTGTCAAATGCTTAGCATGCATGGTAATCCAGGAAATATTTGAATTTGCTCGGAAAAGTATTCTGTTCTTTGCTAGTCTTATTAAAAAAAGGACCCTTCTAATATGCATGTTACCAGGCCCAAAATGGTGTCAAAAATTGTTCAAACAACTTTTTAACACTGCCACGGCAATTTTCAGAAGTTCCACAAACAATAAAATATTCTTTTATTTCTTGGATTTGAATAAATTTTTATAATTATATTTTTTGTTCGTTTTTTAATAAATTTTCTGTTCATGCAAGCCAGCATTGATTTTTGTTATTTTCCCAGAGGCCATTTATCGATATTAGCACTGATATATTCCGAGTATAAATGTAGCCACACAAAAGTGGGAAATATACGAGGACGAGAAAACTCGTAGTTGGCGTTCTAGAACGTGTTCAAGACTTTTTTGCATGTAGATCAAATAAGTTTTTCATGAGTTTTTCTGTAAAGTTGACAGTTTTAGGTATATCAGTAATTTAATATTTAAAAATGTATAATTTTTGACACCGCAAAACAATATATAAAAAAACGAAAATATTAATGCTACCAAAGTTCCTAAATATTTTTCAAATATCCATTAATTAAACCCCAAACCATTTTGGGGGTATTGTCCTTAGTTGTAGGTGCACACCCAATGTACGTTCTGAATGAATGGGAAAGAATCGGCATAAGGGTGACCGCGAATCGAAAAAAAAAATATTTTAATTTGTTTAAGAAATTTGGTGGAACAATAATTTTTGGCGCAATTTTGGGCCTGGCAACATGCATATTCGTTAAAAGGGATCCTAAATGAATAATCTTATGGAAGAAATAGACTACTTTTCCGAGTCGCTGCGAGTGATAGTTCCTAAATATGGTACGGGAAGTAGAAACGCAAATATGACAACCTCCGTTGACATCTAAGATAATCTCACACTCGCCAGGTAGCTGTAGTATACTCTATTTCACGAGTATCCATCACGGTAGAATGACAGCTTGCTATCCAGTAATATTTCAAAATTCCCCATATCGGCAAAGGACACATAATTCTAACGGATCCGTCAATGCCAGGTAGACAGAGTTATATTGTTTTGGATTTTTTGTACGATACAGATTCATGTTGTACTTGCTAAAAGCTCTTTTATTCATGAAAGTTCATTTGCATACAAAACACTTTTACAAAATTTACATTTACATTTATTATTGCCAACGTCACAGACTAACACAAAAATGTCACTTTCTGATCAGCTGTCCAACTCAATTGACGTCAAAACGTGATGGATACTCGAAAAATGGGGTATACGTATACACACTTGACATCTATTTTCATATCAAAGGTAAAATTTTGCATGGCACACAGTGGGCCAGGGATGAACAGAACCTGGCAAAATATGAAAAAAATGTCTGATATTCTTATGCATGTATTTCTATTTGTTCTTGTTATTTCGTAAATGTATCGAAAAAGTCTTCTCTCCGGACGCGTCCAGACGGACGGCTTTGCTGTGAGAGTGGCGACGCACTGCTATTTTAGTGGTTTCCAAAAAATCACCGACGCTACATCCTACATACATAATCGTGATTTTTTGCAGATTTGTGGAAGTTGTAGATTCAAGAAAAGAAACGTTTTATTTCGAATTTTTGGTTAGGTAATGAACATTTCGCAAACTCAACAAATTAGTTTTTTGCTGAAAATATATAGACTTGACGAGCTCATTGGTTACGCATACGAGTGTACTAGAAGTGTGTAGCTTCGATTTTAGAAATATCTGATCATTCATACGGTGAGGTTAAAATTTAGCTGACGTCGTAATGTGTACGAGAGAGAATCGCGAGAAGGGTGCAATATGTGTGTTAGAATGCGCCGATGGCATCCGTGACGTCATACTCGGGTTGCTAGGCAACGAGGTGCTTTTATCTCGAGCTTCTCTCTCGGCGTCAGTGGTATTTGGTTTTCAGTGTATATACAACACCAGGAGTCGCCAACTTTAACATTTTCTGCATAATACTAGTTAATTTTGGATACTCCTGTGTGGTGCTCGCCACCTGTAAGTTAAATAGTATCAACGTTGCCCGTTTACATGGATTTCAGTCCTACACGATCCACATTCAATCCCAAGAAAAAGCCGCATCGACCCTGGAACTGGACTTTCGGTCCGAATTCCAGAGCGTCTACATAAAATATTTAGGATGTTGCATTTAAAAAAATTGGTAGATTTTGACAGTTTTTTTTTAATATAATTATACATATTTCATTACATATTCAGAAAATCCTTCCACGAGGAGAGGATTGATATAATAACAGGTGGGCTGAAAAGTCCGTATCGTTTCTATGAGATGGCGCCACCAGAATAAAATCCATACGCTTCTTAGCTAGTACCAACCTTCAAAAGATGCCTGTCAAAATTTGACAGCTGTCGGATCATTAGTTTTTGAGTTATCGTATCGAGAGTGACGCTACTTTTGTTATTTTTGAAAACCATGGAAAGTCAAGAGTTTCGTGTGTTATGAAACATTATTTTTTGATGAAAAAAAGTGCCGTCGAATGCAAGAAATGGCTTGATGAGTGTTATCCGGACTCTGCCCCGGGCGAAGCAACCATTCGCAAGTGGTTTGCTAAATTTCGTACCGGTCACATGTCAACTGAAGACGACGCACGCAGTGGACGCCCAAAAGAGGTCGTTACGGACGAAAACGTGAAAAAAATCCACAAAATAATTTTGGGAGACCGCAAAATACGGTTGATTGACATAGCTGAGGCCTTAAACATATCAAAAGAACGTGTCAGTCACATCATTCATGAATATTTGGATATGCGAAAGCTCTGTGCGAAATGGGTGCCGCGCAATCTCACATTTGACCAAAAGCAACAACGCATCGACGACTCTGAGGCCTGTTTGGAGGTGATTTTGCGCAATAAAACCGATTTTTTTCGCCGATACGTCACCATGGATGAAACATGGCTCCACCACTACACACCGGAGTCAAATCGCCAGTCGGCCGAGTGGACGGCTGCATCCGAACCACCTCCGAAACGTGGAAAGACGCAACAGTCAGCAGGCAAGGTTATGGCCTCTGTTTTCTGGGACGTGCAAGGAATTATTTTCATCGACTATCTTCAAAAGGGCCAAACTATCAACAGCGACTATTATATAGTGTTACTGGAGCGTTTGAAGGCCGAAATCGCCAAGAAACGGCCACAAATGAAGAAAAAAAAAATCTTGTTTCACCAGGACAATGCGCCGTGCCACAAGTCCATGAAAACGATGTCGAAATTGCATGAATTGGGCTTCGATTTGCTCCCCCATCCACCGTATTCTCCGGACCTTGCTCCAAGCGACTATTTCCTCTTCTCAGACCTTAAGAGAATGCTCACCGGAAAAAAATTTCACAGCAACGAAGAAATCATCGCCGAAACTGAAGCCTATTTTGAGGACAAGCCGAAGGATTACTACCGGAAGGGTATCGAAAAACTTGAAGAACGTTATAATCGCTGTATAGCCCTTGAAGGCAACTATGTTGAATAATAAAAGCGAATTTTGACGAAAAAAATATTTTTTCATTGAAACGATACGGAATTTTCAGCCCACCTGTTATACTATAGCATTTTCATGATTCCTTGTTGAAATGTTGAAGTTCGACAGCGTGTTAGTCTGCCATTTTGAAAGACGATGATTTTATATTATTTAGTCATGAAGTACTAATGAGGAGCTTCAAAACGAGGTATCACGTGACCTTCATTCCATTTAAAATTTTTGCAAGGTGGAACCCAACCGCCATTTTGGAATTTTCAACCGTCACTTTTACCCTTAAATATGACATTCATGTATTCATTTCATCGCCCCGAATTGTCCCGCTCAAAAAATAACTAAGGAGAGGGGGCTTTTTCAAAATCGCTCCATGTTAATATGATGCAATTTCAGCCATTCATACAAATTGTGACCAAATTCAAGTCCGACCTTGATAAACATTATTTTATAGCACAGAAGAGCTAATATATAATGTAACAATTGTTCCAAAAACTCACCAAAAATTCTGTACATTAGGCACTTTTTCTCTTCTTTGGGGTAGGAGAGGTCGCTGCTGTACACCTTGTCCTCTGCCATCTTGAATCTTGCCAGGTACGTCCCTTGCTGATACGACTACCGAAATGATATCACACAGGCCCCAAATTGGGGTTGGAGCCCGGGATCAATCCCAGTGAAAGCTAAATATGGGCAAAGAATGTGTGTTGGTTTATCTGTCGTCTGGCATTCAACTCAAATACACCATCAAAAATTAAAATTAAGAATATCAAACGATTCAGCTTTCCAATATAAGCACACTATGTATGTTACCTCTGTCACGTAAGTAGACCATTGGTTATACTCAGTTGCAGTCAATCTAGAGTGGCTTGATCAGTGGTAATATTCAGGCAATCTGCTAGTAAAGCAATGTTGTTCAACAATTGAAAATTTCAATCAAAAATAATTTTACTCTAGCGAATGTTGCAACAGAGCAGGCGCTTCAGATGGATTAATCCATACTAAGCTTAGTTAGCGACATCATCAACTGAACACAACTGAGCAAAATTATTATTCCAAGTCCCTTCCCATTGAATCAATTTTACCAAAATGTCTCCAAAACAAGCTTTATTTAGCTGTTAATAAAACGAGATAAAAGTATAAAAATAACTTCTTCCTATCGAAAAAATGCCGTTTTGTGCTTCCTAACCTTCAAACGATGATGAAGCTTTCAAATAAAAGTGTGTTACACCATTTTTGCACCTTGTTGATCATAACATGCTTTTATTTAAGACAAGATAGAGCTTTAGGAGCTTTGATATTGTTTAAATGTTAAGAAATATGAAACGGCACGTTCGTTTTATTAACAGCTAAATAAAAACTTGTTTTTAAAAATGTTCTTTTATTTACTTATATTTTACATTTTAGCGTCTATGATCCTGAAAATTAGCTTAGTAATTTCTATCTAATTTACATAAATTTTATTAAATATATTTTAGCGAGCTATCTGATGTTGTGACACTGAAATTTGATTTGGCTAGATGAGTATTTCTTTTATATAGTGGTCGTCTAACGGAATCATCAGGCCCTAGGAGCAGAATACTTTTCAAGAAGATTCATACAAAGCCCAATTCGATGATTTTGCGTCGATTTATTACAGGGGCTCTCGTGGTCACCTTCCGGCTTCCGGATCATCATGTCATGATAATATTGCATTGTCATACCATGTCATTGGTTACTGTGGTAATGATACATCGCCATTTTGCGTCGGCCACCACATTTTGAATTTAGAATGATGCCAAGTCGCTTATTTTGTCACTATACACTATATTGAATTTAGTATGATGTCACTTGTTTTTTCTCACCAAGCTCTTTTATTTAATAAGAACATTTTAAATTGCCATTTTGCTGCCGCCAAATTGAATTTAGAATAACGTCACTTTGATTATAGTGTTTCTTTTAGCTAGCCCTTTTATTTTGTCAAAGGCAGTTGGCATAATCATAATCAAATCTCCACTATAGTGACTTAAATTAACCCAGGACAAAGTTTAGATAGTTTCAGTTATGTCCAACTGACGATAATATTACTCGAGAAGATAAACCCTCGCCCATGCGATCAGTATACCTCTTTCGCACGCGTGGCGTCACTCGGTGACAAAATTCTCCAGAGATCGGTGGCAAAGGTTCAGTTTTATACGACGCTTTAGCACGTAATTTGCGATTCGTTTTGTGAGTTTGTTAACAGGTGTATTTCAAATAAGTCTCTGTGTGAAATATAATTAAAAAAAAAACGTCAAGTAGGTTGACTCTGCACTTCCCATGCAACGCCCTTATCAGTACATAATGGAATATGACCAACACAAACTAGACCCTCTGAAATTCCATGCCAGAACACTCATCACGGTCGGCGCACGATGCCAGCAGCAGCTGCGGCCGATAGGTACGCACTCCGTCTCCCGAGGATGTGAGATAAGCTTTCAGAGCTAATAAAGAGAGAAACCTATAATGATACCAGCATCAAAAAATTGATAAACTTTCTCCGCCCCCTTGCAACCCCCACCGCCAATTTACTTCACCTCTAATTTGTTATCCAAAAATAATTAACATCCTCTGAAACATCAAAAAAACAAAGTTTGGGCAATTCTTACTTTTTTCATTTTAGAATTTAGATTTTTTTACATGGCTCTTCAGGAAGTTTAACCACGACAATGGTCTTACATCATTAATATTATTTTCGGATGAAGCAGGATTTGGAAGGGATGGGCCCATTAACTCGCATAATCTTCACATTTATGCAGACGAAAATCCTCATGCAATAATACAAACTCGCCACCAAGTAGAATTTAAAATTCATTTATGGGCAGGAGTAATTGGACAATATTTAATAGGACCCATTGAGTTACCATCTAGACTAAATGGCCAAAGGTATTCTTGAAGAACAATTACCCTCTCCTCTGGCAGTTCTTCCATCCATCCAGGTAGCACAAAAAGGTTATGATAAGTTATTTACCGAAATAGTGCTGTAAGTGGCGCCCTCTAGAAGTTTGGCCATAAAAATACCGGACTCTGCTGGAAGATGTTCCATTACAAACACGCATGAATATGTGGTTTATGCACTTCAGAGCTCCACCTCATTTTAGTATATTAGTTAAAGAGCACGTAAATAGAGTTTATCCAGACTAGGCTATAGGCAGATCAAGACCTGTATCATGGCTAGTTAGTTCACCAGATTTAAATCCTATGGATTTCTTATTCTGGGGTGATTTAAAACGACGCGTTTACAATACGCCAGTGGAAACTGTAGGTAATCTTCGACAAAGAATTTTCCACCATAGCCAGGAAATGAAAAATAACATCCAAATACTTTAGAGAGTGCAGCAAGGATTAGTTTGTTGAGCTCGAGAATGTGTTAAGCAAGGTGGTGCTCATATTGAACAATTTTTGTAGTTATTATTTTCGTTTATTAGTTTTGTTGTCATTCTTATTTGTTATTGTAAAAAACCATAGCAACGCTACTCGGATATTATCCAAAGTAACTTGATTATCACGGTATAAAAATGTTTTATCATGGTACAAGTAATGCAATGGAACTTTTAAAAACAAATATCTCAAAAACTATTAGCTTTAGACACTTCTAACAAGTAAACCCTTTTTTGTTGTGAAAATACGTGAAAATAAGATTTTTCGGTCAGTTGTTGTATACAGGGTAGCACAAAAAGTTATGATAAGTTATTTACCGAAATAGTGGTTTAAGGGGCGCCTTCTAACAGTTTGACCATAAAAAATAATGGATTCTTGTTTCTCATGCTAGAAAACCTCCCTATACCGAGTTTTATGCCAAAATCTGAAATACTTCTCAAGCAATAAATAAAAATAGAAAATAAAATTGTAACTTTGTGTATCTCGCAAAGTATCAACTTTTGGACTAATGTATGTTTAGCTCAATTCACATATTTTGGTCTGTAGTATCTCCAGTTTCGAAATTTCCAAACCTTTTGTAGACAGTCACTTTAAGACAGATAATAATAATGTTACTCTCTGGATTGGAGATATTTTGATTTTAACATTTTCTTTGAATTTGTTAACATTTTCTTTAAATCTATTACAATTTTATGTCACAGTTACAAACACCTTACTTTTGTTAGGATGACACTGAGAAGTATGTTGAGACAATTTACATAACATTTTCTACCTGCAACATTAGTAAGGTTTTCCATCTAGATTTGCTAGGATAAGACAAAGATTGGACCTTTTCCATCTTTAGTTGCCTAGATCTAAATGGCAGGAGCTCATATATTTGTCAAATAGAATGGAACATATTTAAAAGCATGGACATACTGAGAAAAATCGGTGTAATCCAATATGATTACTTTGTCAACGTTTAGAATGTGTAAAAACCATAATTGCAGCTAAAATTTCACAATAGTAAAGATGTGTACCTTGTCAATGTAACTAATTTGCTGTTTGTCTGATAATCATCCGCTACAGATCACTGATCATCATTAACATACACGATGCACTCGCGTCGCGTCACTGATCAAGTTTAGGACTGGAGCAACCAGAATGATATACCAGTGGGTAGGTACTGGGATGTGGATACTATAAAACTTATAACACTGATTTTAGACCAGCCGTATTAAAAGCCGTCTCCTGATTGAAAAAATGTCGATTCATCAATTTGACTGTGATCATAGTCATCATAGAACTTAGTCGCTACTCAAATGCTTTTTAGCACTTTTCACTTTTTTTCACGCACTGAACACACGGTACCGGGTTGAATGTAAATTTGATAACATATTGGATGGTTCAAGGCTTTGATAAATTATTAATATGAATGCGAATGAATAATATATTAAGATTATCGAGTTCAATTGCGGAATTTAAAATACAAGCTATACAAGAATGCTGGGCAACAAAACCGAAAGTTTGTAATGAAACAAAAGTATACGGTATCAGGTAAGGGGTGGCAGTGGTGCACTGGATTTCAAATATTACACAATAAAATTAAAAATATAAACTTTGTAATGTATACAATAGGCTACAACTGCATTGTAAAGAGAATCCACAAACCTTGATCTTGAACGTTGAGCAGGATCGCTGGGATTTTCTACAGCGGAAACACACGTCCATGGTTGGTTAGCTCACATAAAAATGTAGTTTACTTGAATAATTGCTGGACACACTTCGGCGACGATCTAGTAGCAAAATTATGGATCCCAGATTTGGATCGAAAAGTGAACGTGAAAATAAACATTATTAGCACACTCTGTATTTGGATAGCTTGATTGATGTCCAGAAAATGTCACTTCTATACTTCTATTATCTGCCAAGGAGTAGTTAAGATATCTGTTTAAAAGATGGCGCACCATTTGCGAGGTAGGGATGGTTGCTGTTCCCAACTCAGACTGTGGCGACTGCGAAAAAAGATTCACTTGTACTATTCAGTGATCGATTTGTACGTTTGTACCGCATCTAGTATCGGTCACAGAATTCATAATAAATTTAACAATGCTCAGCATAATACTTCTCTTTGCGAAAACATTGAAAACAAAAATCCAAATTATCATACGCCTTGATAATTCCTGCCTCAACTTTTTTTTATACCGAAGCAGCCGCGCAAGCAGAAGCCTAAATGCCGGGACACCCCAGCTGCTATGATGATCTCAAAGAAGTTTTGTTAATACGATTTTTCAACTGCCTAAGGTTAATAGAACCGGGAAAGCTTCCTCTTGTAAATCCCGACACCCTCGGGACAAATGAGCGGTCGTATCGGCCAGTTCTGGATGTACGAAGCTCGACACGGTTAGGACGGGAAGCCAAAGTCAGGCGGGTCTGTCTGGCAGGCACATCGCGCGGCGGCTTCATGGAAGAGAGCTCTGAGGAGCAAAGCCCGTTGCAGTAGCGGTAGAATAGAGCTAGATCGCCGACGGCCCGCTGGTCGGAACGGGTCCTGAGACTGCCTGTCAGAGAAGAGTCATCGATTAGTCGGACTGCCCTCCTCTAGACAGCATCGAGCATAAATAATGTAGTCGGGGCGGCAGTACCCCAAACGTGTGAGCAATACTCGAGGCTAGGCCTGATCTGGGCCTTGTATAGAGTGAGAAGGTCAGACGGAGAAAAGTACTTCTTAGCCGTAAACAAATAGCCTAGCTTTTTCCCAGCAGCTGCCGCTATTGACGAGTTCGTGCCAGATCAGGTCCTCGGTGATCTGGACTCCGACAGGCGAAATGAATGGCTCTTTATTGGTAGAACTCGACTGTTCATCGGAACCGGATGAGCGCTAGGACGTTTTTGTTCGTCAAAGTACAGTACTGTGCTTTGGAAGTATTAAACTGTACAAAATTGTTGCGTCCCCAAGCAGTGATAACCTCCAGGTCTCGCGTCAGAGGGGAAGTCGTCGCTAGTATTCTTTTTTCCAGCTCAGCGGTAGAGATCGGCTTGGCACTCTGAATTCCTGCATGTGTGCATCAGCGAAGCCGTGGATTGGATTGATCGTGCAGGAAAGGAGGTCGTTGATATGTAAGAGGAACAGTGTCGGAGCCAAGACCGATCCCTGGGGAACACCCGCGTTGACGTTGTGGGATGAAGAGGAGAATCCGTCAATTACGACGGATATCTTGCGGCCAGAGATAAAGTCAGCCACCCATCTGCAAAGCTTTTCTGGTAGGTCATAGAATGGAAGTTTGCTTGAGAGGCCAGCGTACCACAGCTCATCGAACGCTTTTGTGATGTCAAGAGCAATTACATGAGCCTCATCATAAGGCTGGATGAGTTTACTCCACAATTGCGTGACGTAAGCTAGGAGGTCCCCTCTGGATCGCTGGTGCCGGAAACCATACTGCCAGTCGCTAATCAAGCTGTGACATTCGTGGTAGGCCCATCAGAAGCTCGCGATTTATGCACCTCTCCATCACCTTACTTATAACATAAAGCAGAGCTATAGGCCTGTAGTTGTGAAGGTCAGTCTTAGATCCTTTTTTGGGATAGGTTGGGCATGAGCAAATTTCTAGTTTTCTGGGAAGGTGCGGGATTCATAACTTATGTGGAAGAGATGCGAAAGAACTGGCGCAAGCTCCGCTGCACATCTCTTCAGTACAATGGCAGGAATAAAGTCCGGACCAGAAGCTTTGTTGATTTCGAGCGACAAGAGCCCTCGTTTTACGGTCGTATGCCTGAATGTTACCTCCCGCATAGTGTAGGGAACCGTTTGAATTGACGGCACTTGGGCGTTGGTGGGGACGTCCATGGTGGAGTTGGCAGCAAAGATCTTGGCAAGCACTTCCGCCTTGGCATATGAGTCGGATACAAGGCTACTGTGTGAGAAGTTCTTTTCAATCTTCTTGGTCAGCATCCAGAAAGACCGACTGCCATTACACTGCGACATTACCCTGTGACTAACTTTTATATCGAACTGGTTTTTGGATTGCGAACCGCTCCGTTATATTTGTTTATGGACCTGACGTCGGCTTCTCTGTTCTCTACAGTGGGGCTTTGTAAGAAGGTTCTGTGTGCCTAAGTCTTCTGCTGGCGAGCAGTGTCACACGGTTTGTTAAACCAGCCGTTGGATCCCGGTTTAGGCCCTTTCACTGTGTGAGAGATGTATTCCTGGTTTCCGACGTGGAAAATTTTCTTTTATCGAAGAACAGATAGCGTTAGTGAAACAGACATATCTCAAAGGAAAGGTAGAGAATCTCTGAGCCCCTCCCACTTGGCATCTCCGGAATGCCAGGTTTTGCGGCTTGTACGAGTTTCTGCTGCCACAGCGGGATCTGAACGAAACCTAACCTCCACAACACCGTGGTCTGAGTTACCTAGGGGGACAGCACAGCAGTGCTGTAAGCGACAGGATGCGTGGTCAAAAAGAGATTCAGCAGGCTACTGGCATGTGACGAGACGCGGGGTAAAAAAGTACGACTCGTCACCAGCTGGGTCAGCCCTTGAATACGAGCGAACGCCTTGACTGCACGACCTGCTGCATCGGTCTTGTTTGAGCCCAACCAGAGCTCATTATGGGCATTGAAATAACCGAGAAGAACTACCTCTGAAGCGGGGCGATTGGTGTTCAGAAAGTCGATCCTGACGGCGAGGTATATTCAAGTAGGTCATCTCAGTCATGGTCCGAGAGACAGCGATAAAGTCAGCAAATAAATTTGGGCGATCTTTTGGAGTTGAGGCGAAGCCACAGAATGTCCTTCTGGTTTGATTCCAAAGAAACATCTCTGGAGCAGGAAAGACTGCTGCGGACAAAAGCCACAAATCCCCCGTTCTTTCTCAGATTCGAGGGCACCTCGTAATTTGGGGAGCTAAGATGGTTAATCGGTGCAGATTTTTGTATCGGCAAAGAAACGAATGGCGGGACGATTTGATTGCAGGTAGTGATGATCAGCATCAATGGTGCTGTTAATCCCTCAGATGTTCGTAAAACAAATTTTAACTTCGATGTTGTTCCCTCGAGCTAGAGGGTGGTACCGCCTCGGTCGACTGGTCCCTATCTACCACCTTCTTTTTTCGTGGTAATGATATTAAATAGACCTAAAGTGAACCGTTGGCGGACATGTACCGCCACCCGGCAAACGGCACTCCTTAACGCATGTACAAACACTTGAACGGGGTGAAGTTGTATACTGAATACGACAACTTCCTGAACAAGCATTTGCCACGGCCTCGCTCAGTAGGGTATAATACTATCTGTGGAACATCAAAATTAAGTTTAAGTGGATTTCGGTAATACAAAACGATGTGCGGCTTGGCACTTCCTAGGCAAAACGCGCATACCAGCCGTGCATGCCCTTCATAGTAGGTGCCTAGGTATCCATGCCCAAGGAATATATGAATCTCCATACTAACGTTAATAAATCATCAATTCTTCATCTGTGATTTGATTTGGCGGCGAGTGAAACATGAGATTCATCAGCGAGACAACCTCAGGATAAGCGTAATTGTTACATTAGGTATATATTTCAAACGAGATCTTATACAGCGCTCTTGAAATACCTCACAGCATTGTCTGCATTACAAATCAGGCGCAACGACGCTATAAAAAGCGAAAGCCCAGAGAAGCACTTTTTGGTAGGCCAGTGGATTAAACGGTCGAGCAAAATAAATCTTAGTTCCTCTAAAAACTCTTTTTATTATTCTTCAAAATTTTCTTAGACAATAGACAACCAAGGAACGACGATCGGACGATGTACCACTTTTAGCTTTTGGTACTAGCGTTGCCTTTAGATAACTGTTCCCATCTCCAGATCTGATTCCACGTGCTTGTCATTATCAGTGGTGACAGTAGTTCAAATGTATCATGCTCTTTCTTAGGTTATGTGAGTTAAAAAAATCGAAAAGCAACAACAAAAATACTTAAAAGACGAAAGACGAAATTAAGATACTAATTTAAAATGTTTAAACATATAGTGCGTATCAGATGGCCGATTTATAAGTGTCATTCATTCAAATGCTCACCGTCGGTACTTTCAGCAATCCCTATCAGTTATTTGAATGTTGATGTAGCTCGTTCAACAACTACCTTAGTTCAAAATCGATTGCATGATTCCAATGAAAATAATTTTGCCTATAACATTATATCCAAACAACTGTCACCCATAACGTATATACGTCCAACAGAAGCTGAAACATTGGAGGAATTTGAAAGCACACTGGATAAATGTTGGCGAGATGCTACAGCCACTGAAATTGTTGAAGCCATCAAAAGTGTTAAAAAATATTGTATAAAGAACAACATCACTATAGAAGATACGAGATTTGATAAACTCGTTGATGGTCTGATGGATCACTGTGAAGAACTCACTTATGTCGAACTTGTTGAGTTGCTGGAGTGTTTATCAGAGCTACCTTTAGCTCATGGCTATGACACACACAACTTTCATGATGTTTGGAGCTGTTTAGATGATATTTCTTGCTGGCAAATGCTTGAGTGGAATGTAGACCAGTCTTTTACAGTGGCTAATTTGTGGTTCAAATTAAGACTGGGCAGACTATGTGATTACATTTTTCTTCTACTTGATAGATTAGCTAAGAAGGCTGACAAGTTGAGCAAAGATCAATTGGTCAATGTAATGTTCTACCTGAATGTTTGTAGGAAAAGATCTGTAGACTTTGAATATGAATATGCATTATCAAAAAAAGTTAATACAATGAATATAGATGAGTTAGCTGTGGTAGCAATGGGGTACTTTAAAACTAGAACAAGTATCAAAATACTCTCAATAGTGGACACAATGATTAAATCAGTTTGTGAAAATGCAAAGCAAGCTCATGATATTTCCTTATCAGCAATATTAAAGGTATGATGTTTATTGCTTATGGTATTGTGTATATTTTAATGGATGCTACAAGCCATGCCATATGATTTTCCCAACAGAATGTTATAAACAGAAACTGATACATGATACAGGGGGCAGCTGTTGTAGTTATAAACAACATTCTTAAATTCAGCAGGTTGAGCGTATTTTATATTAGTATATTTGTGTATGCATATATACATTGGCCTTATTGGCACAAATAAAACAAATAGTGCAAAAAGAGAAAATTGATTTCCAGCTTTTTTTTGGCACTAAACCACACAACAAAAAACTTAAATAGGGAAAATGTTACTTTTTGTCGATTCATATCAATGTGAATATGCTACACCAATTGATGTGCCAGACAGAAGATACCCTACAGCCAATAGGGCCATGGCAAGATTTTGCTTTTTTCTATTCCTTTGTTGGACACCAAACCTTAAGAGGTGCAGAGGCAGAATCTCAAAATATGCTACTGACTAGTTGAGGCTTTATATTCATGATGGTGTGTATGGGAAACAAGTTACCTTGTTCAGATTGCTAGAGCTCTATAATAATGGCTCAGTAAATGAGATTTTTCAGAAGCCTAATTCTTCATCTAAAAAATATATTCCTGTTTCATTTCAACAAAGTGAACTATTCTTTGAAAAAATCATCTTGTGTCTATGCTGCTATATCATTACATGTTACCTATTCCTATATTTTGCATCTGCCATTTTGAAGATATATAAATTTTGATGATAGCTTCAGTGACACAGAAAACTCCAGATATGAGGTTTCAGATCACTGGACCAAGTGTGGGGTTTATATCCATTTTTTTTTTGGGACTGATTGCAGTAAATATCTACAAGGTCAGTGTCACTTGTTATTTTTGAGCCAATATTAAAACAAGGACAACACGAATTAGTGATATTGCATCAGGGTTACTCAATTACTGGCAAACAAAAGGAGTTCATTGTTTTCCACGGGTACCATCATGTGATGCCTCACCCAGTTACTGTGCTGCAAAAAATGCATTGCATTATACAATGTTGTTTAAAAGGAGGGGCACATACCTTACGCAAATCAGTCTCTGGTGAATCTTGCTCATATATTGCTAAGAAGCTCTACAGAGCATAGTGATCAAGAGTTCTCCTTTTTTCATAGCATTTCCATGACATACAGGGCATCCCAAACAGTAAAAAAAAGAGTATTGCAGATAAATTAAAAGTTATCAAAGAAAACTATTGATGGGTGATTCTACCTGGCATCTGAGGGCACTTTTCTAAAATTCTCACAATTATACAGGGTGTCCCAATTTTGTGCCACATCAGAAATATATTTTTTTAAATGGATAGTTTTTGTATTACACACTCGGATAGGCCCTTTTAAAAGAAGAAGGTTGATATAACCAATTGATGCCATTATTATTTTCAGATCCTACGATTATCCAAACCTGTCAAGTTAACAAGTGATGTTTTTTACATGCTTGACAAATTGCTACCAGAAATTCCAAGGCTCTCGGATCTGTGCTGCTTACACATAGCACTTTTAAGTACAGGTATCCAGAATTACCACCCAGAAACTTTACAAATAGTATCAGAAAAGATGGTGAAAAACATACATAACAAAGAAAAAATAAGACTGAAGGATATTGAACGGATATTACACGTACTTACTATGTTTGATTATGATCCAAAGACTCTGCCTGATATATTCCATAGTTGTTATAATGAACTACATAGTACTGAACGAGCTGATGAATTTATAAGCTATAACCGAAGCCTGGTATCTGCTTTACACTATTTAAGCTTGAAGAACATGTATTCATACCAGCTGTTGGACAAAATACTGAGAGAAGAGTATATTACCGAAGTTTATGGTAAGTTTGAAATTTTTGTAAAACCGCATGAGAGCCATTTGATGTTATGACCTATATATATACATGGTGTTAATTGTGCACCATACATTTAACAGACGATTATTTCATTAATTTTAAAACAAAAAGCTTATGTAAACATGGTCCGAAAATTCTTCGTTCTCAAGATACAGGGTGTTAAGATTAAAAAAAATTGTTTGTCTTAAATTTCTTATATATCCTTTAGCTAATCATTGCAATTGTTGCAATTTGATAGTGACATTTATAAAATTAAGGAGCTAATTTAGCTCAAACTTGATTGAATTCAATAAGTCCAGTGGCGTCTCGAGCAGGATCTGAACGAATATTTGTGACAAAAAATATACGTTACTGACTTTTGTGCAATTTCTAGTATGTTCTTTGGATTAAGCAAATAGACATACAGCTTTTTTGTCTCTTGAATTTTGTTCGTATCTTGCTTAGTTTTCGGAGGAAAAAGTCCACTTAATCCCATATCCCTGGACCACACAAGGAATATGGGGAAAAGTTTATTTTGGAAATTATGATTTTGTATTTTTTATTCCTAATTAATTATGTAACAACAACAACAACACTAAATCAAGTGTTGGAAATGGCCCCCTTTGGTTTCAATACAACCGTCTAGCCGCCTCTCAATACCTGGCGTAATTTTCAATATGTTAATTATAATTAATGATGTCTATTAAATTTATGGTACATACTTTACACCCTGTATATATCACAAAAGTGCAAATATTTGCACAGCTAAGTGTAAGTATGGCTTTTCCTGTAACCTTGTCTCATTCGAGGTATCAAACCTGCTCCAATAAGAAGTTTACTTCTACAACATTTATTCAACATTACCTAATAAGCAGAGATATTCACAAGTTTTCAATCATTATGTTATCACTTTTTCTCTCTGTAGTCTGTGGCTGTATTCCTATATGATTTTGGTATTACATAGCGATATATAGAACTTAATGTTTAGTCTAATTGTAGGAAAAGCTGCCAAAAATGTTCCAAGAGAACTATTTTCCTTGGAATGTTCTATAGACATAGAATGTCCAGACTACAAAGGAAGCAGATTATCCAAAAAATTAAGGCACAAAGTTGCTAAATGGACCTCAGATTTTACTCCATCTAAAGATCAGGTTAAAAAGATATCGTCTGCTGAAGAACTAATTTTAGATGCTATAGATGTGACTACGAATGTCGTTGGGGGCAAGGATTTTATATTTGTTGATCATGTTCTACCTCATTTTTCGAGAGCAGGTACGTCCTCATCATACACCACCTGGTATCATTTAATTTTTGTAATTATTTGAGGTTAAAAAACATAAACGATAGTCCTTGCGGTGCGTAGTACAGAATGGAGCACATGGCAGATCAAATCAATTGGCCGCTGGCAAGGAAGTATTGTTATCGTTATAGTTGTATGTCTATATTTCCGCATCATAGATTAAAACTTAAAATGATAGATAAATATTTTCAACACACGCAACGTAACGAACGTCGGGTTTGACCGATGTCTGGCTGACGAGGATTAGTCATACCGCATTGTCGGATAGGTCACTCATTTCCGTCTGCCTGGCGAATCTTCGGACCGCCTATTATTTGGGAAGTATTTGAATCAAATTTTCACAAGGTCACTAATAAAGCAAGAACGAAAAAGCTTTGCAGTTTCTGTAAATCGGTTCAGAGGCGGCGGAGCTAGGGGTAAAAACACGGACAAAAAAGAGGCTTCCGATCATCTTTAGAAATTTTTTTGTATTGGTAAAAAAATTTCGAATTTTCTGTCCGTAAGTACTACAGTGCACCAAACATAAACAGGGGAAGAACGATAACTCGCTGAAGCGGTGCCACGTAGATACGGTAAAGACAACGTTGTCAGATGGACGATAACTTCCGGTAGGACAGATAAAGAATGTCTGTTGTCTATGGGATAATTGTATGTGCCTGTTTGACTAACTTTTTTTCTTAGAGGATTTAAATTGTGCTGAACTTAATCGTTTATGACCTGATGACACCTTTGCATAGGAAATGCAGTCAACCTACTTGGTGCCATTTTTTAACATCTGCAATTTTGAAAATACAGCCTCGCTTGCAATGAAAAAAATAGGCGAAAAATATAAAAAATGAGTGTTGTACACAATTTTGTGGAATATACAGTTAGGGTGGCGCGCGAGAACCAAAATGATTTAAAACTAAGTTAGTTTGTTGCTGAAAATATATGAAATTTGTTGTCACATTGGTTCCGTATACGAATGTAGAAGTGCTTTTCAGCTTCAGTATTAAGAATATCATCCCATGATTCAAAGACAGAATTTGTGAAGTCGCCAATTTATGTTTTCAGCAACATTCTAACTTAGTTTTGAATTATCTTGGTTGGCGCTCGTCGCCTTTAGGGTATCCGAAATATATTCATAGTGCCCTTAAAATCAACAATTTTTGTACACAATACAAGGCTGAATGTAGATATCCTTTTGGACATAATCATACAATCTATTGATTCACTAAAACATGTTTCAGACATAGTGGTATGTAAAGATAGAGAAACTGGGAAATTCATAAAACCGCCTGGGTTCGAGGAATATATTTTAGGAGATGTGATGTTCCCAGTAAAAGATGAGAAATTGACATTTTACTCAATAGTCATTCTCGGATGGCATAATACTATAAGGGATCAAAATACACCCCTTGGTCTAATGTTGATGAAGAAGAGGCAGTTGGAGAAGATTGGATACAAGCCGGTGTTCGTGAGTATAATATATGGAAATTTTCAGAACCTAGTACCCCTGATGTCTCTACTTATGCAAATTTTTGCATAGTACACTCTGCTGAAAGCCTTGTGAATGTTTAGGATTTCAGCTGATAGATGGCATAGTGTGGAACTATCATACAGTGTCAGCCAGTCACGTAGCTCTATACACCTGTATAATTTTGAGATCTTTACGCCAAAAATGTGTTAATACAAATACTTTCATTTTATACTTTTCAGGTCATATGGAAAGAATTTCTCAGCTTATCAGAAGATGGAAGAAATGGATATATCTCAAGCAAACTTATGTGATATTTTATACACTTGTTTTTGTTGCATTATACATTTTTTTATAAATCACCTCGATGCGATTAAAAAACACTTTGTATACACCTTTTGTCATCCAGTTTGCTGTGAATTGTGATTGAAGCTGTCACATTGTTTATTAGAAATAAACTGAAGATTAAAGTTTTAAAGTACTTTTTCTCCACTACCTTAGGAAAAAAAATGGACAAACCTCGTGATAAAGTGTTTCGTCGTAAAGGTAAGTAGAAAATTAATTTTCATGTACAAAAGCTAAGAGTATAAACTCTCCGCAGCGTTTGAAATTGGTATCGCTTGATCATTCTAAATTTCTAAAAAGCAATGCATATAGTAGAATAAAACCAAACTGTTTTTTGCATTCCCCATCCCATCGTAACCAATTAAAAGTAGCATACATTTTTCGATGCTAAGCAAATTTTTCACTAAATAGCAGTGCTGGGCCGAGCGTACCAGCGCAGATTTGTGATATCGAGCTACAGTCAAATTACCGAAGTAACACAGTACTGCTCAGCAGCTTTCACCGCACTTGACCTTCTCATTTTTGAAATTTTCCGCCCCCTCATCCACCAACATCATAATCATAAAAGACTTACTGTATTTCGTGGCACATTTGTCAGAGCAGTTGTGCGTCAAAAGACTATATAACTAAAATAAAAAGTAACTCAACATACAAGGTGTCTCATGTTAATCTTCCTACCTAAATATTTCGAAAACTGCATTCTAGTAAAAAAAAAATCAAACGAACATTGCAAGGTTTCGAGAGGGCAACCTGATGCCCATGGCAATAAACTTGACTACAACCTTTAAGGCCAGTTCGAAGTCAAGTGAATATTTTCAAGTGTAAGCACCCTTTTTCACATCTAAATTGAAAATAGGAGACTATGTCTGAACATTACCCTAGCCATGATATTGGCCGTTGCTTTCAGGGCCACTTCAACTTCAAGAACAAATCAAGACATCGTAAACAATTTGCTATATCGAAACTATTCGATAGCACACTTGCGAGCTTTGTGCCGTGAGCTTCAATGTCAAGTCAATATCTCTAAAAGAAACTCATTTTTATACAGGAAATGGAAAAATGTGACCTTGACCTCAAATAACATTTATGCTTGACACGACCTTGACTTTAAGGTTTAGATCACAATCGGGCGTAAAATTTCCTACTTTTTACATTTTACAGTACAAAAATGAGGAGTTTCTTTCGAGAAATTTGGCTCGACACTGAAGGTCATGGTCGAGGTCACATTTTGGTGAACCATACAAACCTCGCAACTGTGTTGTCGAACATTTTTGCCAGAGCAAATAGTTTATTACGTCTTGATTATACTAAACCCACACATTGTCTTTATTATGCCCTGGAACACAACGGCCAAGGTCGTGGCCAGGGTAGTGCACGGACGTAAAATTTGTTAATTTTTTCAATTTCGATGTGAACAAGGGGCGATATTGGACGATTTTTTGCTGTTTAAAAACGTTTCAAGGTCTGGGAGTGATGAAACATAGGCTTTCATACAACATTTATTTTTTTGCTTTTTGAAACGTGCGAGCGGAAAAAGTGTGATTGCGGATCATTTTGCTCCCCGCTGACCCCACATGGAATAATGGCCTTCTAGTAGTTTCAGAAAATGGAAGAAAAACTCTCAACCTGAGTCACTGAAGTTTGAAATGCATTTGTTCAGCTGTGGTGTGTGGAATAAATGTTGGATGCACCTATCCGCAATTTCTCGGATATTCTAAATTGCGAGTTGAAAGTTTCAATTGCGTTGATGACATCTGAATATGTCAGTCAGGTTACCACAAAATAATTGCCTGTCAGAAAAACATACTATAATGTATATCAGCTGATGTCTTTATTCTACAGGTGGGCTTTAATAAATTTCACTAATACAGGGTGGCCCAACGAAAAGGTCGCACCCCCATTTGTGACACGTCAATTTTGATTTGTAGGGAAACGTCTTTTCATCTATAGCCGTACAGTACAGGGTGATCCAAAAATAAGATATTGCATTACACTAGATTTTTTTCGTGGCCCAATTGTATCTTGAAACGGCGAGTGGCTAAAAGATGGACATCCGGATGCTTGACATTATTTGGTAGTACTTCTTATTTAATTTCAATCTTCTATGATTTCAGCCCTCGTCTAAGTTTTTTTGAGTGTGATTTTTAGTACATCAGTCCACGATGATTTTGCACTAAATACGGAAAATAGTTATAACGTGGAGCAAAAAAATGAAACTGAGCATGTTTAAAATTATTGAAAATATTTTTTGATTCCACCCAATGAGATTTTCTGTATACCTTAATAGCCCAAGATTCTAGGGCTCTCATATATAACTTATTTTCTAAAAGACAAAATGTGGGACATTGGGTTGCCTTTATATGGACAGTCTGCTGCCGATTTATTTCTTTAGGGAGTCGTCGTTTAGCTGTGTTAGGCGATGTTGTTTTTGCATTGGTCAATTCTTTCTCTAGGTTATCAATTTTTTCTTGTAGAAATTTGTTGGATTTTCTTAATTCCGCATTTAATTCTTTTAGTAATGTGTTCTCCCAAGCCACTGATTTATCTATAAGATCTGTTGCAATTTCTCCCTCTGCAATTGATTTATCAGACAAAGTCACTGTTTTGAATTCGGGGTTTATTGCAACATTTTTTCATTTTCTTTCTTTACTGTACAACTATTATGAAATACTGCGCAACAATTTGTACATTTAACTTTTTTATTTACGGCTCCAGATTTACAAAATTCTGATGATTATATATACTTTGTAAAATGGATTATGGCAATCGTGGAACGACACCCTTCCTACGTCAACACTCCAATACGACTGGGAACAGGTACTATTGCTTAGATCTCTCAACATAATTTTAACGTAGCGACAATGCAACAGTCTAGGACGCGGCATAGCTGCCGGTCTCACTACTTATCAAACGCAGCTTGTATGTCTTGCACTTTACAACTCGCAACGAATAAGTAATTCTGTGCTCGATATTATAGGTATACTCCTAAAATTTCAACAAGAAAACATGGGTTACCTGGCCTCCAGCCGAAAAATACACATAAATCCGCGATACATAGCCATATTTTAGTACATATAACTTCGATCCTATGACCTTTTAAGTGACTTTTTCAGACATCGTGACTAGGCTACCAAAGCAGAGTTCCTCGTACGAGAATGATCGCAGCAAAGAGAATCCCAGGCCAAAAAGTCGGAGCGTGTTCACCAGCTCCCACGCGGCCGACGATATGCAGACAAGGGACATTCTGCGATATGAGGGACAGCTGCAGAGACCATATGTGCCGAAGCCCATCACCGTCAATAACTACTTTTCGGAGGATTACATTGTAAGATCTTCTCATATTTTCATTTTTTTTGTTAAGGTTCTAAATTCATATTGATCTACAACAGGATTCGGCATGATGGAGGACTGTATCACGTAGTTTCTCTCCATCAGGTGAAGAACAAATCTAATAGAGCAGCTAATAATCGGAAATCTATTGGGGTGGAGGAACACTTGCGGATTTTGAAGTGAAAAAACTAGAGTACCCATTTTTACAAATATCTATTCAATCAATAATATATTGGCTATCTATGTGTATAACCTCTCACTCCGAGGACTTTTGTTTAAAATACTCAGAGAGGCGGTTTTAGAAAGCCTTACCAGACTCGAATTTTCAGCCATCACGATCGTTTTGCAGAGTACAGAATAGATGAAAAGCGGAAGACGTTAGGTTTGAATAAACAAAAGCGTTACAATGTCAAAGAACAGAACACCTTTATAATCCTACCGTCCACATAGAGCGCAAGGGCAAATTGGGTTTCGGCACTATCTGGCGAGGCTCCTGGGGTCCACGCTACGTTTTCTACCGTGTAACTTCATCACAGACAACCCATTCTACGTCTCCAGTGATAATTCGGGTCAAACAGGGATCTAGAGTTCAATTGATTCGGTCATTTTAAAAGCATTTCGAAAACACTTCTTGTTGGTAATGTAGACGCGTATTTTACTCCCAATCTACTAAGTCAATACATTCCTTTCCCTTCAAATAATGCATTGATTGTGGAACAATCGACAAAAGAAGGCTCTTCCGAGTTGTACTAACCTTAGCGAGTTCAAAAATCGGATTAACGAAGTTTCCTTGGGATCCTTATAGCAGCCGCGTGCCCTGCATTCAGGCTTCTGCCTGCGCGGCTGCTTAGGTGTAAAAAATAATACCGCGTAATAGAGGTTCATTGTCACAAGACTTCGTTGCATTTTCAGAATCCTCGTTGGTTTCCTTTTCATGTTCATGTGCTATATGCACCAAAATACTAATTTTAAATTCACCAACTACAACAATAAGGCTTTGCCCGAAATCACTCATTTAAGAGTTTCTATTTTACATACCAAAACCATACGCTAAATATATATTTAAAAAAACTGTTCGTTATAAAATCTAAGGGTACTTTAATTAAAATCGACTTCTATGTAGGACGACATGTACGGAGATGACGGCTATAACGGTGGCACTGGCGGAACAACAATATCCCCGCACGGAGTGATAACGATGCGTCTGCGTGAGCACATCCGTGTGGACGTCTCACTTGACAGAGCGGTGCGAGTGATCAATGCCAAAAACGGCATCATATTGGCACTGAGCGCTAGCGGCAGCTCCTCAGGACTCGTACATCCCAACGGCAGGGTGTACCAATACGGATCTAGGGTGGAGATTTTGGCCAATGACGCTCAGGAGAATGATAAGTAAGTTTTCTCTTTTTGTTCGAATCGTATGAGTATACCACTGCCAAAAATTGAGATGTACTCTCCCCCACCTCCTTATAACACCCAACCCCCCAGTTTTTACCATCTACAAAAGTTTTTAAAATGACAAAAGCCTCTGAAATTTCAAAAAATGAAATTTGGGCGATTACTGTTTTTTTTTCGTTTTTTGTCCCTACCTCCGCCGCTGGGCCGATTTTCAATATGTAAAATAAAAAAATATATTTTTAAAAACAAGCTTTTAATAAGATGTTGAAAGGAACTAAAAATCAAAAAAAAATCCGATTGGAAATTTTTAAAACATATTAAAGCTTCTTAGTCTCAGGTTTTCAGATAATAGTGTGTTACACTTTCCATCCTGCTGCCAAAACGCAACACGCTTTTACTTGAAAACATGCGATGAAGGAGCTCCATTTCCGTTTAAATATTCCCAATCGGAAAAAAATATTTTGGCATTTTTAGTTCCTTTTATTAACAGATAAATGAAGCTCGTTTTTAAACATGTATTTTTTTATTTTTTACTTTTTGGTATTTATGATGTCAAATAACTAGTTTGGTAATTTCTGTATAATTCTTACTTGATTTGTATTATAAAATTTCGGTAGATATAAATCATAATATCATTAATCCATATTTGGCGGAGGCCGCCACATTGGATTTAGAATGATGTCACTTTGCTTACTGTGTTTCTCTCATGGAGCCCTTTCATTTCATACCAGTATCATAGGGGTTACTATGGAAATGATGAATCGTAATTTTGTAGCATCCGTAATATCGGATTCAAAATAGCGGCAATGGCAAAAGCTTGTTCAAAATTAAATTCAGTTTCAAGTTGAATAAAATCTTGTAAGAATGACGAAGCTTTTTTGTAAAAAAATTAGCAAAATCTGAGAGGTACTTTCGTCAAAGATAAGCGTACAAACAGACTTACCGGCAGAAATGAGTGACATGGTTTTTCGTGATCTACGTCATGTAACATTCAAAAAACATCCCAATTTTAAAATTCTTCAGGATGATACTTCCTCGCCAGTTGGCGTTGGAAGTAAAAATAAAATAGCGAACGTCAAGAATAAATGTTCCAGCTTGGAATGTTTAGCCATTTTGAGCGTTATTTTGAGAAAATTATGTGCACCACTATATTTTTGTCTTTTTCTGTTACTATTAGATCAAATAAGCTCACAAATTATCACTCAATTGCTTTGGTGCGCAGGGTATCAAAAGACATTGAAAAACGCTTATAATGGCTAAAATTCAATACCTTACCAAGTTTGAAGGGTTTTTCATTGTATACACTATTTTTTCAATCAACTAAAGGTACTGGAACATAATATAAATATAATAAAATGGTCTAAATGGCCAATATTAACAAATATCAAATTGTAGATCAAATTTTGAAACCATTGTTGCATTTTTCTGAGCAACAATCCTAAAGTTTTTTAAATTAGCCATATTAGATACTTTTAATCTACTTCAGGAAAGGTCAGCGTGTCATGTAGTCACAAAGATCACTTAAGTATAAGAATAGTTCGCAAAAAGTTGAATAAATTCTGAAGTAGGAAAGTAGAATCTCATTGATCGCTCGAAGTGTCCTTACTTTTATTTAAATCACATACTACCTAGATATCAAATTACCATATTTTGATCTATGTTTGAAAATATTAACATTGATTTTTGGTTCAGGTTCGCAAAAATGTGGTACAAAGGAGTAAGCTTCACTAGTATGCAATGTGCTTTGGTATACTTGGTAGACTCGGCTGGTACAAGAACCACAACCGACTCGTTCAGTGACCTGACACATGATTTCACACTTAATATTTTCTACGAGTAAGTAGACAGAATATCTTAACCCAAATATTTTAAGCGACTGTCTTCAGAGTTATGACACTCTAGTGTTAAAGATAATGAAAAATGACCAATTTATATAGAATATGACTTGGGTCAAGTGCCCGTCCCAGCTTCGCACCTTGGTATGGATTTAAAAGCTCCCACTTTCAATAATTGTGCTGTAGACCAATTTAATTGAGTTCTGTTAGCTCCAACGCACTGTTCTCACTGAAAGCAACAGGATGACAAGTCGACTTCAATTTAATTTCGTCTCTTGGAGGTCATGCTAAAGGTCAGTAAGTACGTACATACTGATAAGGATGCGGAATTGAATTATTCTGTTTTTGTTCATAAAACCACTGATCCAAATAAAAGTGGAAACTCTGAATTCATAAAAAATATAATGTGCAATGAGCAATCTGCGCAAACGTTTTTCTTGAGTCTGACGATTAGTCGTACACTGACTTTCTAGTAATTTCTTGTACCAACTTTAGCTTTCTTGGAATTTTTTCAATACTGCTGCTCCGACTGAATCATCTTAAAGAACAACAAAAACGCGATGGAGAAGTACTTTTATTGGATTATTAATAATTTTTTGAGGATGCCGTCGGAACTTTAGCTAAAAGGCATACGCAGGATGAAGTCGTTGCTTTGGTCAAAACAGTGACAAAGGGCATTGAAGGATGGTGACTTTCTGACACAAACCGATATCAGGTGGCAGTACAAGTTATAAATTCTTGGGATACGATCAACATAAAACATTTATTAAAAATACGAAATTTCTGCGACTTTATACACTTTCTTCACGTACATCTACAGAAAATTGTTTGGTCTAGATTTTGGTCTGACGGCGTCATTGATCCTAAATTTTTAGAAAAGGGTGTGGATGAGGTGATCTCCATCGACGACGAGCTCAACATTTCAAACAACAGCACAATATACCAATGATTATAATGTGAACGATATGAATGACAATGAACACAATAATAGACATTTTTCTAAAAATTGGACCTCTTGAATCCGCGTCATTGTGAGAAACCACGGCAGACAGTTGAACCCTGTCATATTAGATACAAATTGCGGCGGGCATCCGACCTCCATTATATTCCATATAAATCGCCATACATGAACCCTTCAAATAGAAAAGAATGTCGTTATAACTCAAACATGACTTCAATGCTGACCGGCACGGGTATTACGTATCTTGAAAGTGACATTTTGCCCATTATTTGACATTGTATTGGTTTTTTGTGACATTATGTAGGTTTTTCTAGATGTTAACTTAGCACTTGTTGTACGTGTTGTCTGAACGTCGTGAGGCTTCAGTTATCAATGTTTGGCTCTGATGTGATATAAAATCTGCTTCAGAGATGGCATTACCGGAGGTTTAAGCTGTTGATGATAATTCCATTGGATTTTTGTCTCAAATACATTTACTTGAGATTCCCAGCTAGAAATTAGTTGCGCATAAATTTTTTCTTTTTGTTTTATGTATAATTATGAATTTCAAAACTGAGAGAGATCAGAAATAATTATATTCACTGTACACTGTCGAATTACAAGTTATATACATACTAACAGTAATTACAAACAACACGGACGCGGTGGTGATTTCCCGCAATGCTCAAGTTTTTCGTAATTTACGACTTTGAACATAACCTGACCATATATATATATATATATATATATATATATATATATATATATAACCCGTCGGGCACACCTAATAGATATACTTCATTGGCAGCATGTTCAGTAATGATTTTCTCACACAGCAAATATCACTGATTTTATACACATGCAGACTTATACAAATAACCATCCAGATGCGATCTTGCTACTCAAGAAACTTTCTTCTCAGAGATAAAAACTACAGACCTCGCGGCTTCACAAAACATATGCAACCAACAATGCGTGTAGTTTTGTTGTCATTCCTCCATAGATGGACGCTTACAACGATCCTAGTGAGCAAACGTGGAATGACTGTTTGCACCCTAAAAACTACAAGATGACATTTTATAGATTTTTTTTTACGTTTTAGAGGTTTTTTACATAATACCCGTGCCGTCCTTATTTGCGAATCCTTTACATACTACTGCAAATTTAGTCTCTTATACTGTCTAATTTTCTACTCAGGGACTCTCCCTACTCCTATATTGACACTCCAAATACAACTCATGCTACCCAGTTGGTAAATGAAGCTATGGCTGTTTTACAATCTACAACTTGCTGGATGACAGAGGATCGTACTACTAACTGGATCATCAACAATATACGCATCTCTCAGACCTCCGACGGTATGACATTTGGTAACTTCTACCATTGATCTGATATTTTCAAAGAAGATACCCACTTCGTCACAGCCTTGTCGCCATGCATAACCACAGTAACTCCTTCAGAAGCAATAAAATATACGCCATTTTTCTTTTAGAGAAAATTGTTTATTAAATTGACGTCAACCTTCAAAAGACAGATCATTTCAATCTCCTCCGTAATGATCCCTAAGATTTCGTATTGTCAACATTTTTCAACGGTGGAAAAAGAAACATGCTGCAATAGTCCAAGAAGTGTCAACGCAAATGACTAAAGGTGGTGCTCAGCAAGTATATCGCTGCATGCCGAAGTGGTTCGCTCTACCGTGATGCGTGTACTTATTTCACGCAGGCAAGGCTTTCAGTTGGGGTGGGTATTTTCTGTTTTTAATACTCGATTCCAGGAAAGATTTCTTTGCATCTACTTATTTAGCAATCTGGTGATACACAGTGGAATGTTTGTTTATTTGTTCTGCTAAATTTTGGGTAATGCAAAATTTTTAATTTATCGCGAATATAGGTCCTGCAGAGCGGTCCTTATAGGCAACCATAATTGCGTTAATTTGCAATGCTTATTGTAGAGTATGTTTGGCCATATTAGACAGCTCCGAAACTATTTTACTCACGCCTCAACCGGAACTCAGCCCTTAAGGGTATCAATATTGTCGATTCCTTATAAAAGATCTCTCAAACCAGCGAAAAATTACACGATTTATGCAAGGAGGGGCTCTAATCCCCATGTTAAATCAATAAATTCTTCATAAATCACCTTGTCAAAATCGAACAATAAGAAAGGCGTTAATCACTGCTTAAACCATTCCAGTTCCCAATAGTCCCATTAGTTAAATATTGATCCTCAATGCCCAAGACCAATTCAAGTACAACCTTTGGTCAAAAAATACAAAAAGTAGAAGGAGAGATGATTTTAGTAGCTGCACGAAATACTCATTGTTTCTATTATTTATTACAGGTTTGGTTCGTGTGGGTCGCAACAGCAACAAATACTCTCTCCGCACTTCTCCCACCAATGGCTCAGCTTCTGTTTCGACCCCTTACATGCACTGTACCGGTTCGATGGGGCAAACTCGCCACCTATTTGTGCGGAGAGGGGAAAGACGCATGCACTACGACGGTTCCACTTTCATAGTGAGAAACGCAGGCCATTCTGCAGGTTTCGACGAGAAACACCAACTCAAAGTATACTAAGATACGGGGTACGTCTCAAATGGGTGGGATTCGCATCAACCAGGAGGGGCTTGCAAGCAAGTGGGTGGGACTCTGAGTAATGTTCAATTTTTTGTTTTAGTTAGCTTTGTCGTTTCATTTCAGCAAAAACAAAATTATAGTTTCGAGTGCTCAGTCGTGTTTATAGTGAGCTATAAGCACAAGGTTGAGTGGATGCCTTGGTAGGTATAGGAGTAACATCATGCGTCTTTAACGACAATATTTCTGAAACACCTAATTAATGGATTTTCACAGTTTAAGCAATATTTATTACTGGGCAAGTAAAATGTATAGCTAGTCTTCAGTCAACATCCTTATAACATTTAATAATACGCTAATAGTAATGATGCTTTCAAAGAAGATAATCAAATAGACATTAGGCTCACAATCATTTACCAAGGATTACAACTTGAGTTATGGAATTTAACTAACGAATGTACTGATATAGTAGACAAAATATGAGAAAGTTCGTACCTGCTATGCAAATATCACTCACTACAATGAATACAGAATCATATCTATTTTGTTAATATCTTAATTTTTGGATGACGTAAAAAGTGCTGTCACTTTTTTGTTTAGGAATGTCTGAAACGTTTTACCATCCTCCATTTATGAGAATATAGTGATCTTTTCTATCTGAAAATTGTCGTGTACCAACCAATTTTACAAAAAAGTGACTTTCTCAAAGTGTGGACGTGTCATTTTAACCAGTATCAATTCCTATTAATTGATTTTTAACCTGAAAAGTGTGATGTGAAAAGTAATAATTTTAGATTTACAAAAAGTGAACAACATCGATTTAATGAAGTATAGACCCGGACATACACATAATAAATAAAAGTGACAATGTAGACCTAAACCTACTAAGTATCTACTAGATTTTAACTGTGATAATGATGAGTGACATGGAAAAGTAATTGTATGTAAACAGCAGACTGTATAAATAAAGTGATGAAAATGTATTGGCGTTTTTTTTGTATGCAGGCCGAAGTTCTAAAAACGAGCCCTGCCTATGTGCTTTGTATGATCGACTGTTAATAAAAAGTTTGATATAAAAGTTGCAAGGTCTAATATAGATTTTCATGCCACGTCTTTTTTATATGAAAAGTCCTACTGAATAAAGTTGTATTTTCTCAAGTGGATAACTGTAGAGTTTTAAAGAATTTAAGGCTTTTTAGGTGTCCAAGATCCCGCCACATGAATTCAGTTCAATCTGCTATGCTAAATAGATGGAATTAACACGGCCGGATCCCACACCCAGTCACACCGACCATTGTACGAACAAACCGATAATGAGGCTTTTCAAGATACATAATACGGGTGCCGGTTGTATAATATGATGGTGTACAAAAAAGTTGTTTTAAATTAAAAATGCTTCGACCTATGTGCAGAGTGCAAGTAGTCAAAGCAGACCGAAACTGTTTCGATACAAAATGTATGGATCTGTGTGCGGCCGGAATTGTAGATGCATGACACGATATGAAATTTAACATTTAAAATCTGTGCAATAACTGGAAAAAGTAAGTGGGATTATGTAAAATGACAATGGAAACCAAATCCAGACTATTGACTCACAAATCATGTAAAAATAGAAGTGTCTTGCTTCACTGTGGTCACTTTTTTTGTATCTTAGTTTGATCCTGGTGTATTTTATTCTAGATTTGAGGGTGGTAATATTGCGCTCATATAAAATATACGCAAATAGATGAATTATGAACAAAAATGCCAAAATTGCGAAGTTTGGGTATCTAAAAATAATCAGGTATTAAAATGAATAAGAAAATTTTTATGAAGGTTTAAAATACATATGTTCTAAAATATTCAAATGCCAACATTTTATAGGTGCGATTAACTTGAAATTTGAGTTATTTTACAAAAGTCCTGCTTATAGACCATGATTTTTTTTCACGCCAACCTTCATATCAAAAACCTCCGCAGTTTTCTTATGAAAAATGGGTTTCAGCTAAATTATTTGAAATTTTGCATAGAAGGTAGTTTCCACCATGGCGATTCAGTTCCAATGGTGCCAATCTCTAGAAACCCCTTACCGACTCCTACGGAAGCCAGAAGCCTCCCAAGTAGAGGTTATTGATAGATATGGGAGAACATAAAATTTAAATTAGTATTACATATAATAAGTAAAACATTCAATTGTTAGGATTTCTCCCAGCATGGCCAGTGGTGATGGTTTTAACTTTGATAGATATCTCGAAGCTTATAGTTAGGGTCAAGTTAAGTTTTTAGATGGGGTACATACTACTTCTCTACCAGCAAAATGGACAAATCGAAAAATCTACTTTCATGTAGTCAATGAGCATTTTGGAAACGCAACATTTGACAGTAAACCACCGCAATTAGAGTGTATTGATAGAAGTAGGATATTATAATAACTTGTAATGTTGACAGGTAAGTAAAAAGTACTGTTTTTGAGGCTGGTTCCAGACTGAGCAATGGTCAACATGAATTTGACCGTGACCTTGAAGGTTATGGTCAAGGTCAAGTCAAACTTTCAAGTGGGACATCCTTGTTGGCAACGATGTGGCTTATTTTGACTGACGCGGTAATATATCTTGCTTTGACTGGCCTCTAATCTCCGCATGCCTATACACTATTCACAGTAGAAATGCCAGACCTCCTCAAAAACCCCCATCACCCTAGCCTTTAGCCTATATTTCAACAATACCCTTTTATTACTTCATAACACCTCATAGAAGAAATACTTCGGATCCTAGAAAATCTAGGTCTAGTCAAAGCAATACCCATTATTAGCCAGTCAAAATAAACCGCATCACTGCCTCAATTAAAAAAATGATGAACCTGACCACATAACCTTCAAGGTCATGGTCATGGGCAGATCCAGGTTCACAATGGCTAGTCTGGAATGAACCTCAACGACAATTTTACTTCTCAGTCAACATTACAAAGTATGATAATATCCTAATTGGGGGCTTGAGGGTTTTATAGGAGGACTACATAAAAGTAGATATGTCGCTTTATCCATATTCCTGGTGACAAACAAGGTGTACCGCCATTATTAAAAATATACCTGACCTTGACCACAATCTTCAAGGTCACTATCAAGGTCAAATCCATGATCACTATTGGCTAGTTTAATAAAAAAATTATGAAAATAAAAATTCAAATTACTTATTTTATCGCAAAACACATTAAAAAGCTTGAGACGAACACGTGATAAGAACTTAAGACAGCCTTGTACAGGTGCTGAAAATATTAAGTCCTAATCTTTCTTCACTTATTGCCTTTAATCTGCTTTGCTGTTTCATCTGTGGCAACCACTGGAATGTTCTTTTGTTCATAAAGAAAAAAACGCAAAGCATTGGTACCAATTTTCATTCGTTTCATGTTTACTATTGGCATAACTTTTAAAGCTGTTATTTATCTATGTTTGTATATCTTACTTTTGCACCACATACGTACGAGATATTTACCAGTATGCCAAGTACACTGTATGTTCAATGTAACTAAAATGTGATTTAGACGCTCACACAGCACAACTTATTAACTACCTCCTAAATTGTTTCTTGAACTTTTCATAATGATAGTCATCCGTTGCCCTTTCATTTTTTGCTGTTTTGCCAGGTTCAGCTTCAATTTTTTTTTTCTTTGCTGGAACTTCGGCCTGGTCAATGTTAACTGAAAACAAAATAAAAGATTTTATTTACATTGTCTCAATAACTACGCTGGAAAGAAGATACTGACATTTTCCCCGGTGCCGTGGATTGCGTACTTTTACCTCAACTGGAATTCAGAAGATTTACAGTTAACTTTGGTATTTTCCTTTAATAAACCCGTTTGTGTCCTAAGTTGTTTTTCATTGAAAAGCCTGTTCTGTCTAAAGTAGGAGATACAAAAAAGAGAAGTAGTATAAGTAAGAAAAGAGTAAGTATATCGAGTCTGAGCCTTTGAGCGTTAAGCATAAATTCTCTGAACTGTTTTTATCAAGGGGCCCAGGGTGACTTTTAGTCAGTATTGTGTGAATACTCAAAGCAGGAGGCAGGCGCCTAAGGAGTTGCTGGACCATAGAGGCAGGTAGTTCGTCAGTTAGTGACCACAAGGAAATAGTGTCAGTCTTTGAAGCTAAAACTGCTTGAAGTCGTGGCGGAAGTGACTCAGATTTGGGAAGAAAACCTAAACGATCCTTACGCATGAGATCAGGTTTCCGTTGTAGAAACACGAGAATCTCAATATTCACGTTATTGTTTGACTTTTGTTTACTTCATTTTGTGATTTTTCAGTGTTTATAAGGAGATAAAAGAGCAATTGAAACTGCAAAAAGGCGTTGCTACAATGTGGTTTCATAGTGCATCTGCAAATGAATCGGTCATTGCAAAAACCTCGCCCCCCACACGATTTGAATTCTTCAGGAGACAATAAACTGCCAATGACAAATAATCCAGTTTGATAGTGGTATTTTGGACTTAATATAGTATTTGAGTGTTACAAGAATGAAATTTTGAATAACCTTCACATGTTATGGCTATTAATAATAATGGAATAAGTCCGTAAAACTGTTCATGACTTACATTGTTTTAGCAGGAGAAAGTCGTATATTACTTAAGCAAAACGATCATGATTCGAACGATCAATATTTTCATTGCTAGTTGTTGAAAATTATAGTTAAACATTGACTTATAACATATCACAGAGGGAAAACCCAGGTAAAGTAAACACCCTGGGAAATATAGGTTGACACCCATGAATCAGGCATCGTGATAAAGTACATACATTTATTCGTTCAACCTTCTTCAATAATCGACAATCGTTCGCGGAAGAACCCATGTGCTTATTTGACTATCGAACAACAAAATGTATTTTTTTCAAAAAAAAAAAAATTGCAAGATGGATGTTGTGCGTGTTATTCAACACACAACTCAAAGTATTTAGGGTATATTTGAAGAGAAGAGGAAATAAGTGAATTCTAGAGTAAGATAAGACTGTTTTCGCTCATAACCTTTTTTGTAATTAGTAAGTACCGAGTCAACCTACTTTAAAAGTTTTCCAATGATTATCTTTGTGATTTATTTTTTATAAGTGTTTTTATACATAGACAATATACAGTGCTTTTCTTTAATGTCCCCCTCCCCTTTGATTTTTTGAACAGATTAATTCGAAGAATTAAAACTTGAGGTACCGAAATTGATGCGTGGATACCATATTTTAGAGTAAAATTGACAGATGAAAATGTCAAGATGGCCACTAGGCGCCATCTTGGAAAAAATTTATATGAAAACAGGGGTCTTGTGGCACATCATTTTGAGGCTCCTGACGAGTACTTTATAAGCCTAGAATATAAAGTCAATACCTTTACCTACTACAAAATGGTGGTACATTTAATAATTACTTGAACACAAACCCACTAACATGCTTATCTCTACAAATAATTGTAATTCCCTGCCGTATCCACAGCAACCGCGATAAAAACTTGTTTTGTTATTTTTTGTTGACAGTGGCAACAATATCAGTACGACAACAAACATCATTGTACAGTTAAAATATTCTTATTTAGTTTGCGGTTTTAGTGCTAGATACTGTTTGAACTATTTTTAACATGGTCAATTCTCGTCCATTGGAAGAAAAAATCGAAGCGATTTTTATTTATGGTACGACGCGTAACTTTCACGAGACCGAAAGGATTATTAATGATCGTTTCCCGAATCGTCATATATGTAGAAAATATTTAAGGGGACTTGTATCTAAATTTACAGCTACTGGTAGTGTAAACAACAAAAAGCCCCCATGTCATCCTACCATCCCGGAAGAAAAGCAATTTCAAATAATTGGTGAGATCATAGTAAATCCCCAACAGTCTACTTCCTCCATCGCGAATGTATGTGAGGTGTGTCCTACTGTATGGAGACTTGAAAAAGAATAAGTATCACCCATACAAAATTCAAATGGTGCATCAGCTAACTGACGATGACCCTGATCGAAGAACAGAATTCTGCGAGACGGTGGCTCTGATGGAAGAACAAAATTTTGCGAGACTATGACGGAAACCATTGCACGGCACCCTACCTATATCCAAAATATTTGTTTTAGTGATGAATGCACATTTTTTCTCAACGGTAATGTGCAAAGACTAAATTGTCGTTATTTTAGTGACACCAATCCTCACGTCTTCCGGGAAACTCATACTAAATATCCACAAAAAATTAACGTTTGGGCTGGGATATTGGGAAATTATATTGTGGGGCCTCTATTCATCGAACAAACTTTAACTGGGGAACTGTAATTGGATATGCTGGAAAATACTATTGACCCTCTAATCACCGAAATCGTCAAAGCGAATCCTAATGAATTCGATACTGATATTGTATTCCAGCAAGATGGTGCTCCACCACACTACTACAGACAAGTGAGGAATTACTTAGATAACAATTTCCCCGGTCGTTGGATTGGCCGACGAGGTCCTGTGGAATGGCCAGCTCGCTCGCCGGATTTGACACCTTTAGACTTTTTTTATGGGGCTATTTGAAGCAAAAGGTGTACGAAACTGAACCTGCTTCAATATTGGATATACGGCTGAGAATAACAAATATTTGTAGAAATATTGATGTTACTATGTTTGAAAATGTTCGACGCGAAATTACGGACCGGCGGTTATTGTGTCAGAAAGTTCAAGGCAACCATTTCCAGCATCTTCTAAACTGAACTCAACGTATTTATTCGAATTATCAAGTTAAATTTTGTAGTAGGTAAAGGTATTGACTTTATATTCTAGGGTTATGAAGTACTCGTCAGGAGCTTCAAAATGATGTACCACAAGACCCCCGTTTTCATATATTTTTTTTCCAAGATGGCGCCCAGCAGCCATCTTCACATTTTCATTTGCCAATTTTACTCTAAATATGGTATCCACACATCAATTTCATTACCTCAAGTTTTAATTTTTTGAATTGATCAGTTCAAAAAATCAAAGGGGAGGGGGACATTAAAGAAAAGCACTGTATAATTTTTTGGTAAACGGATTTATCAGCAGAATCGTGGTATTCATACAGTCCGAGCATAAGCGACCTGTTTTTGCGTAAATAGTTGTCAAAAATATCGTTAACAGTACATAGTAAAATTATTCGCGGGAATAGTAATGCGGGGGACTATACCCAAATAAATTTTCAGACTGTAGTACAGGTCATATTTAACATTTACATGGTCCAAATGAATAAATAATTACATAAGTAAGCACATCTACAATTACCTTATATATTCTTGATCTGCTAAAGTATTCCTAAATACGAAACTGTTGCCCGCACTGTGTAGGGCGGTGAGCCAGCACAACTTATAATAGGCCTTGACCTTATCTCAGTTGGCTGAAAAATGCAGTATTTTGCGGGGTGAAACTTCTGGAGTGGCTATTCTGTGGTTCTATATGCATCCGAGAGATAGACTACTTATCTTGGGATGTAGATACTACACTGTATCATGGTTTTCTACTGAAGTAAATCACTAAGCCTTTCAAATACAAAACTCACATCGGTTATGCTGAACAAAATTCACTGCCATATTTGTAGGAACAAATTGTGATGGTCCATCCTTCTTGTTCTTCTCTTCCATCAATAACTTCAACTTCGCCTCTTCTGTCGCTTCAATATTTCTAATTTTGGCCTCAATTCCCAGGTCCACCTCTGGTATGCCACTTAGCATCTGGTTTGACAACATCTCTTCTGAACGCTTTGTGGACGACTCTCTAGAAAAATAATGTGTGAAAATCATTGGGTATACTTAACAGCTAAATGAATATTTTAAATAATGGGAGTTATTCTCACCTTAAATGGGTAGGTACTGACTGTAAAGCTGCTTCTTCAGGGCTTAGGTATGTGGAACTACTATTACCTTGTGTTTCACCTTCTTTGGTAGTTGTTTCTTTGCCCTTCCTCTTAGACAACTGATCTTCTATGAACTTCATCATTTCTTCATCTTCATCCCTTTTGTTGGTTTCTACAGAAAACTGGGTTCCTATGCCAGTATCATAGGCATCATCAACTTGCTTCAATTTACCATTTTTTAATGCTTGCATATTTATCATACCTCCTATTTGCACATTGAAATGGTCTTTCTGCAATGACATTAGGTATTCATTATACACTATGTGTCAAAATTTGCAACCCACTACTTTAAGATTTCGTTCCGACCTCATTTTTCGAGCTATGAAAGTACCTAGTACCATATTGTGTAGAGTTAAGGAAAACATATGTTTTCCTAAAAATCCCAAGGTCATTTAATCTATTAGCTTCTGAACTAACATAATTTTTGTTCAAATATTTGTATATAATATTAGCAAATATAGCCCAGCCATCATCACCATATTAGAACAGATACCACAGATATACATGTGCATTAACCCAGCATTGTTGCCCACAATACATAAACACATGCACTTGTCAGAAATGCCATCAGATGGGCTACAAAATCACATTGTTTACATTACATTAGATATGACTACATTAATTTGGCAACCTGACAGAAATATATGAAAATATATGGGAAAAGTCAAACATGTGTAGCTTTGTAGCTGCGCCATACTAAAAATATTTCCATATCTAACTGCTGTTGTTAGCAATTCTGATTGCTACTCTATGTTAGCTTCAGAGTGCAGTAAATATATTACCTATTAAGAAGAGCAATAATAAGTTGCCTTCTGCACACATGCAGCTCCCCTACCAATATAATTGCAAAGATGTAGAAAGTTCCTTACCAAAATAATGTTTCCTGTTCAAAGGAGACAAATGACATGACTCCTACAGTATACTTATCACTTGCAGAAAACCCACCTCTGCCATCATAATTTTGCACAGGGTAAGAGATTTGGACAGATTTAATGTTGGGCACACCACCAGACTGCGAAAAATTGCTTACTCACTCAGCTGATGTTCCTGTTTCAATATTGTTTCAAACATTGCATTTCAAAAAAATGCGTCAAATTTCAATCTAGTAACATTTGAAATCAGGCTAAGCATCAACAGTGCAGTCAGAGCCTCAGAGTGGAAACATTCAGACTTGTGAGTGGGCAATACCTGGGCCATGCAGAAATATGGAGGACAAAACCTTTCCCTCTCAATACAAATGAAAAGTAGGATACCAATGTGAATTTTGGAATCATAAATGGCAATGGCAATTCCAAATTGTTTTAAATGGAAGAACACCATCCCAATTTTGCATCTAGATTAAAGGCTAAACTCTACATGTTGACCAACAAAAGTCTCTGTACAGGAATGCAACATGATACAAAATAACCCTTATCAAAATGTCTATAGAAAATTGAAAAACAATAGACATTCAAATGCATTCTTCAGCACCACCTTTTGCACAGCCTTTAACACATTGACTGCGAACTGGGATGAGGATACCCACCTCAGAAACTGAAATACTTTTTTTGGAAATAATACACAGTTTGGATGACAGAAAAATGAAAAACCCATGTATTTATAAAAAAACTCAAAAATAACGCCGTGAGAGCTAGGACGTCTTAAGACGTCCTCAGCTTCCTGCTAAAAAAATTTCGCTAGGAGCGGAGGGCGTCTAAAGCCGCCTCACATTTTATAAAAGAAAATCTTAAGGCCGGCTTTCCAGGACAAGATGGGCAATGAAAAACGGTTTCCTTGCGAATCTTTTTTTTACAGCAGTTAGTGCACTTTCGGTGGGCATGTTTCTTCTTCCCTCCTGCTCGAGGATTTTTTTCTGGTTTATGTTCCGTTGAGTGTCGTTTTTCAGCGGGATTTGGTCCTTGTTTTTCAGGAAGTAGATACTCAAGTACACGAAGTCGGTATTCGTATAAGGATGCTCTTGGCTGTTCGTACTTTTTGAACAAAAAATAAGAATTTACTAAAAGCATATTGAAAACGTAAATGCCAATTTTTTTGTACCACCTCAAAGTTTTTCTGTCACATGGGTAGTACGAAAGCATTTGATCCTTTTCGTCTATGCCTCTCATGTACTTATTATATTCACAAATAGCTTCCAGCTTTTCTTTTTCCTCTTGCCTTCTGTTGTAATACTTTTTCAAGTTATTTCCAAATTCTGTTGATATATAGAATACATCCCTTTTGTCCTTCCACTTAGCGATCATAACTCCATTACATTAGCGCGCAATCGTTTCTCCTTTTTTTAATTTAGTATTTTTTACATCAACGGGGTTGTCTTTTCGGTCAACTCTAAGGGTACCAGTGCAATAGGTCTTTCTACACAGTAATGTGCACGCCAGGTTATAGCTGGTGTAAAAATTGTCTAAATATACTGAATGCCCTACATCCGGTTTTTCTTCCATCAAGTGAAGTACTACATTTGCAGCATGCCCTTTGCCGCCAAAATCGCCTAGAGTGCCAGTGTAGACAGAAAATTTTACAACCGTACCATCTGGCTGCGTGAGCAAGTATAATTTTACGCCGTATTTGTAGCGTTTATTTTTAATATACTGTCTAAAAACTAAACGGCCACGCCACAGCACCATCGATTCGTCAAGGGACAAGTTTTTTCCTGGATAATAAACTTCTTCCATTTTTGAGTTAAAATATTCTATAATGGGCCTTATCTTGTATAACCTATCCGCCGGAATTGGATCTCGAGGTTTTGGATTTTTTGTGAAGTGCAAACATCTTAAAATCAACATAAAACGGTCTCTGCCCATAGAGGAAGAAAACACAGGAATATTTAATAGCCTGTGCTTTCTCCAGTAATCCTGTAGTCTATTTATATAATAGTCTTATGGTGCCCATATGAAATACAAGGCCAATAAATATTTTCAATTCCTCTCTTGTCAATTTCGTCCAGTGAGTTATTCGCGATGTTTGTTTAGTATCCGAAAGGAAAATTTCTTCGGCATAGTTTTCAGTTTCTCGTACTATCGAATCTAGGAAATCATCATCAAAGAGTAAATTGAAATAATCCTTTGGCTCATTTCCTAAAACAATATAAACAAGTATAATAAATATGAAATATTTAAATTAGTAAATTAAATTTTACCATTAGGCTGAACTAGTAGTTCCCTCTGTTTCGTAAATGTTAATTGTTTGAAATCTGCATTTACTGCATCCCAAATGACCGGATCTGCAGGAACTTGAGTAGGTGTTGGAGATATTGCAGTCGTTCCTGATGTTGTTGGTGAATTTACGGGAATATTAATGTCCAAATTATCGGAAACACTATCATCAACTGTTGAGAAATCTAATTCTGCCTCATCACTAGAATCGTCAAAGCCGTCATAGTCCGGATCACCAATATCATCGTCCGAATCAAGCAAATATCGGTTTAATTCTTCTTGCGTCAAAGGAGCCTTTTGTCGAATCGTTTTTCTAATTTAAGCGTTTTCAGCCCTGAGGGTCCTGCTTCACTATCAGACATCACGAACAAAAACGGCACGAATTTTTCACGACTTTAACATGTGTATGAGATGCGGAGAACAGCACAACCTCACTGCTCAAAGGCTGACGATATACTAAAACGTTATAAGTGAGACGGCAGAGAGCGTCGAAAGACGCCGTTCGCCTCCCACCACAGGAGCGGAGGGCGTCTTTTGACGCTGTTCGCACTGAACGTGTTAAGGACCATATAAAAAGAGGTATGTCAACATTCAATATGAAGATCTATTAATGGCAGTTTTATGAATGTTATGGGATACCTACATTCTAAAATCACTCATAAATATTATAAAAAATATGTGCTGATTGGTGATTTAGGTATACAGCCTTGTAAATAAAAATGAAAATTAATCAGTTTGTATAATTTTGCAGGGTGGCAACCTAAATAGATGTTACATGTTTTCTTAACTTTTTTATAACCACTTCTTAAAAATCACCAATTTCCCGAACTTCTCAGATCAGATCTAATTTGTTAGATAATAAATTGCCCTATTCCACATAATTAATCAGTAACATTAAAATGATGTCAAAAAATAGTTGAAGTCAAGCTGTATCTCTGCTGAGGAATGAAGAATATGGAAATTAGTGAAAGAAACAGATCATTTGCAGTGATGGTCCCTAACTGTGTCTCAATTTCCCTAATGACATTCCTTGATATTTCTGATTTCTAGAAGGTATATTCCTGAAATGAGGGAGTAGACTAACTGATAGAACTAGTGTGGTTCTATTATATTTTAGGGAACTGGATTCCTAAAAAATGATATAAGAGGTTTTCACAGTCATATTTGGTAAAAAAAGAGCAATCTCACTGTTGTTCTGTTGCCCATCAATCTCATGGTTAAGGACAACGTTTATGGTGAAATGTTCAATGACATGAATAACCTATTATTTCAACTTGTTTGACAAACGTCAACACTGCCAGAATTTGGTAATGTTCCCAAGGGAGCATTGTATTCCACTATGCTCAAGATTTAACCACTAGGTTGAGTGGTGTCACTGTTTTAGCTATTTTACATCTCTCTTAACACATGCTCATGTAGTAGTTGTCATGTGTGATACTTTCATTTTTGATAATCTGATACATTTGCCAAATTTGCTATGAATAAAAAAGAGGCAACATGCTAGGTGGGTTGTCAGCAGTTAAGTGACCATCTTAACTAATGAATTCCTTTAATTCATTTATGTGACTCACCACTATGATCTCTTCTTCTGGTGGAATTTTGGTTCCTAGAGCTAGTCCTACAATACTAACACCATTTGGACGCTCTCTCAATTTCTGCAGCTCCCTCATCTCTGACAATTTGGAACTGCAAATGATTATGTATAGATATTTATAGATTAGTTAACATCAAAATCAGCCTACCTCACCTGCTCTGAACTTTCATCATCACTTTCCTCAGTTTTGATTCTCTGTCGTAATACCTTACGATTCTTCTTACGTTTGAATACAACTTTTTCTTCTGTTTGGGTCGAACTTTCGCTCTCCGACATGTTTGCTGCTTAGAAACCAAAAATAACCTAAAATGGTTCAGTATGAGGGTGTTGTGGTGTTGTAAGACTTACATCAAATTCCACATCAACTTCATATTTGAGCAAATCGTGGATATATATATATATATAAATCAATAATTAAAATTTTAATTTGTAGACTGTAGCTTACCTAGGGATGCAACGATATATCGGAAAACCGATAAATATCGATATATCGACAACTAAAAATATCGATATTTATCTATTACGCCGATATCGATGTATCGATATAGAAAAATTCAATATATCGTATCAAAATATCGAAAAACCCACCCAAATTAAAATACCCACAAAATCGGGTAAAACGCAAAGATGTGACGCATGTTCTGCGACCACCGGAAGCTATAACAAGATAGGCTTCTGCCGAACATTATGTCACTATTTCAAAAGTTGTGCCTATGGTGAGTTGTGCAATTGACCAATACAATGAATCGAGGATCACTTCAAACATCGCCGATTCGGCGATTTGAAGAAAAATATTACTCTGGAAATGAAGAAGCGTTTTGGCTAGTTGGAATACAATATCTTAATAGTTGCTAGACCCTCGTTTCAAAAACTTGCATTTTAAGAAACCTGACGCATGTGCAAAAGCGATTTCAAAAATTTGAAAATGGTTTTCAGAATATAAATCTGCAGCCGCAGCCGCAACAGGTTCATCACCATCTTCAGAGGATGAAGATAAAAGTGAATTTGATTTTTGGAACCACCATAAATCTTTGGCTCATACGAAAATAAAAAGAAAAAAACTGTCGGTGACGACGAGCTCACGTTATATCTTTCTGCTCCTGTAAATACTCTAAAAGTAAACATTATTGAAATATGGAAAGAGATGCAAGGTGTATATCCCAATCTTTTTAAAGTGACAATGAGTCATCTACCAATTGCAACGCAAAATGTAAATAACAGCTTTTCTAGTTGTTTGGCAAACATTGCTACGCCTCAACTTTTATACATCTCCATTGGTATCCCTCAGAATTTTATTCAAAACGTCTTTTTTTATAACATTCCAGCAAAATAGCAGAGGTAGCAAAATTGCCCGATGAGCTGGCAATGCCGCAATCTATGTGACAAGAATGCAAGGTCAACTGCCAAAACGTATGTCTATACCGGGCAATGGTGCCAGGTCTAGTGAAATTTCACTAGATCTAGTGATTTTTGAACAATTTTAGTGATTTAGTGAAAACTTTTGTTAAATGTCATATTTCTAGTGATTTTTTGAAAGGTTTGTAGTAAACAAAAAAGAATGAAAAATACAATGAAAAAATATAGAAATGCAAAAGCAAAAAAATGTAGATTAAAAAAATTAAAATATTAAAAAAATATATTTTATATTAGGTATCTCGGGCTTTTCTGGTTAGGTTGTATGACGACAAGATTTAAATAGTTTTTAGCCCGCAGGTCACTAGAATCTACATTCATTTCTTTGCATTTTGCATAACAGTACAAAGTATTGGGGGTTGACTTGATTTTACATTAATCTGTTGCAAAGTTCCAGTGAGAAGCTAGGCAATGCATTATACTTTGAGTGTTGTGCAAAATGCAAAGAAATTAATCTAGACGAGTGTCCAACCCTGTTCGGCGCGGGGATTTACATAAGGTTTCTCGGGGATTCACATAGTTTATTTTTACATATAGGCTTCGCAACGTGTTTGTTCCCGGGATAGCGATGGAGTCATTCACTACGTCAAAGCGGCAGTTTTCCAACCTTCATTTGCATTTTTCAAGCGGTGTGCAACGATTTCGAGAAAAATTTTGCTGGATAATCTTCTAGAGTCTAGTAGACTAAACAATGAGTTTCCGAATAGATGAATAGGGCGTAATGGACCCATTTCTTGGCCTGCTACCCCCGGATAATACTTTTTTTTATACTCCAACTACCACGAAGGCCTAAGGCCTAAGCACCCATTGGATACCGTGGGGCTATAGGGGGATACATGGGAAAGGGGGGGACGCCACACGGACTCTAGCGAGGGAACACGTGTGCATGCAACATGCACACATTCTGGCTCCGCCTACGAGAACCGCCGGGTGGTACCTCCGCGATCGACAGTCAGAGACCATCTACCACCTACGGACAATCACAACATCCATAGCCAAGAGAAAAATTTCTCCTGGGACGGGACTCGAACCCGCACAGCGCACGGCGACTGATCAGGAGACCGAAGAGTCTACTACTGCGGCCACCGCTGCTGCCTAACTCTCGAAGAACTTCAACAGCGCACTGAAAATGCTTGTGATTTATAATTCGTGGACACCAGGAATTTATTTTCGAAGTTTTTAAAGAGCCGTGGATTCGCCGAACAAGATTTTGCATTAATCGAACAAATGGGGACAATTTTGAACAGTTTTTGTATTGTATTTAACTTGTTAATGATTTTCTTTAAATAATTTTCAATAATGTAAACTAACTCTTATTATGCAACTTTTATATACCTAGGTGATTTTTGGTATATCAACTTCTTTTAGTGAGTTCTACAAGCTGTATAAAATAAATGACACAACTTTGAAACCCTGTATAATAAAATTAATGGAAAAATAATTGTGGACGTTTTTCGATCTGAGATATGACCCGCGAAGCCAGGTCATGGAATTTTAGTTTTGACCCAGTATATTTTGATTCTTTGGGTGTATGAGTATTATAACATATTCGCTTCGCGAAGAAGCCGCCACGAGTGCGTCACGATATAATCGAAGTATTGACAAATTGTCAAAATGACGCGCAGTTGACTCAAATACGTTTTATAAGTAAATCAAGTATTTCTTTAATATTCCTCATTTATTCCAGAATCATTAATAATGGTGTCCAGTAACACTATAAATATAAAAAATTCATCTACAGCAGATCTGACTCCAACTTTAAAAAAGTACAAGTTAGTATTTTTAGGTGAACAAAGTGTAGGAAAGACTTCTTTGATTACCAGATTCATGTATGACAGCTTCGATACGAATTATCAGGCCACCATAGGTAAACCATCCACATTTAAATATATTTGGTAGAACACACTGAGCAAACAATTTTTTTGATTATATTTTTATTTAGACACCATTATGAAAGTAGAAATATTCCGTTACTATTTCAAAATCCTGCACCATCGATTTTTGATGCGCTAGGAGGGTAAATAGAGTTCTCACTGTAGTACAACAGTGTGTCCGCATAGCAAAGTTAATTGTTAAGATACAGAAAGGGATTTATCATTTCGTATCCAAAACTCAAGAACTTACAATATTTAGGTATAGACTTCCTCTCTAAGACTATCTATCTCAGAGATCGCACGATCAGATTACAGCTGTGGGATACTGCAGGTCAAGAAAGATTTAGATCACTTATTCCTTCATACATCAGAGACTCGGCAGTTGCTGTCGTGGTGTATGACGTCACAAATATGGTCTCATTCGAACAGACTCGTAAGTGGATTGACGACGTTAGGAAAGAACGAGGGACAAAAGTCATGATCATGCTAGTGAGTAACTACTGAAACATCTTAAGAGTGTGTTTAGATGACAATGGGCTTGTAATTTAGGGAACTTCTTAGGACAATGTTATATACCACACTTAAATTACCTTCACTCTAGGATTTGTCTCAAATTTTCGGCAGACGGCAATTGTGCCATGACGCTCTGTTTCGCATCGCTTCAGTGCCCAGGCTGTCATTCGAGCGAGTGAAAAGACACCCAGCAGAAAAGTTGCAACTTTCTTTACTTTCTTTTTCCTATCCTCTTAAAGGCTAGACTAAATTTTTCGCATACCCTAAGGCCAGTTTAATACAAGCGTTAAAGACCTCTGCGCTTTTTTTCATTCAACAGTGATATTAATTCTAGACCACTTAAGAGATAAAATTATTAGGATACCACAGTATTCAACAAACCCTATTTCAAAGCAGTTTCTCCTACAATGTTCCCACTATATACAGGGTGTCCGCAAAGTTGGGGTTTTCCTTTTCAGAAATAACTACCCTTGAAATAACAAAGGTAATGTGTAGTGAAACGAGGGCGACCAAGTAAAAAAAAAATAAAGGAAAAAGTACTCGCTCTCCAGTTGACGAGAAGGGCTAAGTACGTCTCTGCCTGAAATCATACCGCTCCAACAGAAAATGAAATCAGCTGATGCGCTACCGAGCAGACACAGGCAAACAAGGAAGGCAAAATGTTGCGTAAAAAGTCTAGGTCTAGGTTCACCATGCCAGCCCAAACATTCACCGAAAATGTTTGTTGAAAATGTGCCCGACAGACAGCATGCGGATTTTCTACTGACCAAACATGAGTGTTGCGAAAGTTATTGACCCCATTACGCGTGAACGTAGATTCGTCTGTCACCAATATGCACTTCAAAAAGTCCGGATTATTGTCATGTTGATGCAACAACCACTTACAAAACCGCACTCTTGCTGGAAAATCGTCAGGTTGAAGGGCTTGTACACGTTGGACGTGAAACGGATACAGCCCCTCTTCACGCAGCGTTTGCCACACTTTAGTTTTTGATACTTGCACTTCTCTAGCCACGTCTCTAGTGCTTGTTGAGGGATTCACGTCTACGCGATTATCTCTGCACGCGTGACCGTAACCGTCGGTTGAAGGTTGCATACTGACCTGACACACTGACCCCGACCCAGTTCTGTCGTCGGGTTGAGCTAGTGTCCTAGTACCACTGGGGGATGTCGCGGCTACAGGACGGTATTCAGATATTTTTGATGTTGCAGAGCCCTTTATCTTGGTTCCCTTAAGACATTGGTGTATATGGTAGTAAGAAAAATTGCTTATGTTTTCAAGATCTACACATCGTGTAAAGGAAAACCCCAACTTTGCGGACACCCATAATTCTTTACCAAAATTGTATAAGCAATACTCGTTACCATATTTTCGACAAATAGTAAATTATCATTACTTCATTTACTTGATGACACAATAATGCTTTTTTCGCTTTCCTAACAACTTTCTCCCCTACTCTACTTTTTGGTGTACTTTACTTTGGAAAGTATGCCAGTCCTCGCTTTATTGTAATAATTTATTAATAGAAATTCAAATTTGTTGTGAATAATATTATATGATTATTAACATCTGTTAGTGACTTTTATGGTTAAATGTAAGAGTAGCTAACGCTAAATTTCGCCATTTAAGTCTTACCTTAGCTGCATTACACTGTTGTAAGGAAATGAATAAAGCCTATTATTATTATTATTATAAGTAACAGAGCTCCAATAACATTATTTTCGATGTATTTGCAGTTTGGGAAGGATTGAATGCTAGTGTCAAAAAAGAATAGTATCTTTGCTGTTTACCATATATATACAGGGTGTCCGCAAAGTTGGGGTTTTCCTTTTCAGAAACAACTACCCTTCAAATAACAAAGGTAATGTGTAGTAAAACGAGGGCGACCAAGTAAAAAAAAATAAAGGAAAAAGTACTCACTCTCCAGTTGACGAGAAGGGCTAAGTACGTCTCTGCCCGAAATCATACCGCTCCAACAGAAAATGAAATCAGCTGATGCGCTACCGAGCAGACGCAGAAACCACATTGATTGTCTTACATTTAATGGCACATCTTCTAACAAGGAAGGCAAAATGTTGCGTAAAAAGTCTAGGTATTGCATCCCGTCCAATCGATTTGGGAGAATAAATGGTCCAATGAGCATACCGTTCACCATGCCACCCCAAACATTCACCGAAAATGTTTGTTGAAAATGAGCCCGACGGACAGCGTGCGGATTTTCTACTGACCAAACATGAGTGTTGCGAAAGTTATTCACCCCATTACGGGTGAACGTAGATTCGTCTGTCAGCAATATGCACTTCAAAAAGTCCGGATTATTGTCATGTTGATGCAACAACCACTCACAAAACCGCCCTTGTGCTGGAAGGGCTTGTACACGTTGGACGTGAAACGGTGATGTCGCCGCTACAGGACGGTGTGCAGATATTTTTGACGTTGCAGAGCCCTTTATCTCGGTTCCCTTAAGACATTGGTGTATATGGTACTAAGAAAAATTGCTTATGTTTTCAAGATCTACACGTCGTGTAAAGGAAAACCCCAACTTTGCGGACACCCTGTATATATCTTACCTCGGAAAAAAATACATAGTTTCACAAGAAAGAAGAGAATGTGGTGAATTTCACACATTAATACCACAATTACGAAAAGACGAGAAAATATCCTTTATTTATTGCAGAATAACAGTTGATTGTTCTTCTATTTTAGATCAAACCTTATCGTTTTTCAAAACATTTTATAGTTTCCGTGGAAAAGGTTATGTATTATTGGGTGCTTTCGAACTAATTCAATAATTTGCTTTATTTTGGTTATTTCTTACTTTATAACAATATGAAATTACTGCAAATCCGACAAAAAAGCAGCTGATGCGAACTAAATTACGATTAAATACGCAAATAAATCGCAGCCAAAGCGAAGAAAACCGCACTAGCTTGAGGTTATGTGTTTACTGCAGTGAAAACAATATGCTGCGAATCGTTTGTGGTGCGAATTTTGCGTGTTAATATCTCAAAATTCCCCATATCGGCACAGGACACGTAATCCTGATGGATCCGTCAACGCCAGGCTGACAGCCGAATTTTGTTTTGTTTTTTTATACGCTACAGATTCATTTTGTACTTGCTAACATCTTTTTTATTTAGAAAAATTCAAAACGTCACAAACAAGTTTTACTAGATTTATATCCGATCCACTATTACCAACGTTGCAGACTAACACAAAAATCTTACTTGCGGATCATCTGTTCACATCAGTAGGCGTCAATGCGCGATGGATACTCGTGAAGTAGGGTATACATGTACGCACTCCCAGATGCAATCCGGCAATACCATCTCAAATGATGATAGCATAATTGAAGAATGAAGGCTGTCACGGCTAATTCTAATTGTCATTTAGGTTTTTCGAGCTGTTGAGCCGGGGTCGGGTTGGATTTTCTCCAGAGCTTTCAGCTACATCTGCGGTAGCCATCTTTAGTGGCGCTGTCGCCGAGAGCGAAGTGCTCGGCTTGGCGGGTCGACTGAAACTGGTCGGTCAACTGGATGGGTGTGCGGTTTTATAGGCGATCGGCGGACTGAGGACTGAGCTGTCTGGTGGGAGTACTCTGGGTCCCTTGAGCGACGTAGTTTTGGTGCTGTTTTTTAGAATTGGGAACCATGTTTTGTTTAAAGCAAGGTCTTCGTCTCACATTCGGGCTGAGTCGTGAGTGGATGTTGATAAGAGTTTGGTCGAACAGAACATTGTGGTCGTCTTGCAGTGCGTGTTCGGCCGCCGCTGATTTATCAGTTTGTGACATAAGACTTTTCGACAATGAAGGTTCTGCATAGTACCTATACCCTATCTCACGAGTATCCATCACGCTTTGACGTCTACTAAGGTGAACAGCTGATCATCAAGTGACATTTTTGCGTTAGTCTGCGACGTTGGTAATAATGAATCGGGTGTAAATGTTGTAAAACTTGTTTGTAGCGTTTTGTTCTTTTTGTAAGCAAATGAACTTCTAAATAAAAGAGCTGTTAGCAAGTACAAAATGAATCGGTAGCGTACAAAAAACCAAAACATGATACGGCTCTAACTACTACCTGACGTTGACGGATCCGTCAGAATTATGTGTTCTGTGCCGATATGTGGAATTGAGATATTACTATAAAATCCGCTGTCTTTCTACTGTGATGGATACTCGTGAAATAGGGTATAGTTGATTCAGCCACAACCTCTGATAACCATTTCTGTTTGCATATTTTGTTTACCATCTCGACATTGGCTGACACACATGAAGCACTTCATTTCAATGATCTCTCTAGGTAGGCAATAAAGTGGATCTTGAGAACTTAAGAGAGATTTCAACAGACACAGCAATGCTGATGGCGAAAGAGTGGAATGTCTTGTTTATTGAAACAAGCGCGAAAGAAGGTTACAATGTAAAGCAGTTATTTAAAAAAATAGGTGAAGCACTTCCCGAGATAGATCCAGCACTAAATGAGACAGACGTCAAAGAGGTTGTGTTAGAAACTAATGATGAATGTGAAGCTGAAGGTTATTGCTTATGTTGAAATTTGCATGACATTAAACGTTTTCAAAAGTTCATGTATTTTTTCTTCAATTCTCACAGAAACTATCAACTCGACAAATGAAATAAATATGTATGTTGAGCAAAAGTAAAATGATTTTTTTCAACTACCTGTATGCAAGAGTATTCTAAATCCTTTTCATCTGATCACTTCATGATATGTGTGTAGGGATGACTTAAAAACGGCGTTTTTAATTTTGTCTTGTCATAAAATGCATTTTTTGTGCATTTTATTGTGGACTGTTTCTTCGATCGTAACTTGTTAACAATATTGTACGTGAATATTCTACTTTTATGGATGAATGAAACAAGTGATTACTTTTATTCTTACACTGGCGGATTTAAATGGGGGGCGCGCGCCCCCCTGTAGACGTCTGACATTTGCTTTTGCAATCAAACACCATCAATCAAATTCAAGCGGATAACCAAATGGAAATCCGTTCAAGCAAGTGTAGTTATCAGTTTGGTTATAAGATCCGTGACGTCACGAATCAGCTGTTATATGTCATAGGTATCACCGCAAAATTGTGGTATTTACCCAACTAAAGAGTAGTTTTATATTTCTGGTTATTATTTGAAATGTGACAAGTTAGAATTTTGCCGGTTACCGGGTATTGGATATTATTATTGTACTTCAGCTTCATTTTTGAGAAAATTGATACAGGCTGACCTCAGTTTTACCATAAAGTGGAGCACCTTATTAGTTATACTCATTACGGTTGTTGGGGACACTTTAAATGTAGTTCCTATGCTTAACAAAGTATCCTGTGTAGCCATATACCACAATAATATTAAAATATGGCCATATAAACTCACTAGATGATATCCACCTGGATACGGTTTTGCTAATTTCTTTTTTCATCATTTCTGCTGAATCAATAAATGTTTTCTTTGACATGCGGAAAAATTTAGAGAATTGAAAGTTATCATAGCTGCAAAGCCATGGTTCCATCATTAAAAAAAAATCTGAAAAAACATTTCTCCCATGAATATCATGAAAGGTTTCTTATATAAACTTTCCATATACAGTTGTAGACGAAAAAGCACCGATTATTAAGTGATAATAAAAATAATCAGAGATTATATACGCGCTTTTCTAAAATAAACAACTTGCAACAAAACCGCGGTTAAAACCAACGCGTTCAAGCGATGCGTGTAACTGACGTCATCAACCTGTGTGTCATCTTGAACCATATTATAACCGCGGCACGTAACACAGACATTTTGGTTATTCGCTTGGATTTGATTATCATGAATCAGCTGTTATATGTCACAGTTATCACCGCAAAATTGTGGTATTTACCCAACTCATGAGTAGTTTTATATTTCTGGTTATTATTTGAAATGTGACAAGTTAGAATTTTGCCGGGCATTGGATATTGTTATTGATTTCAGCTTCATTTTTGGGAAACTTGATACAGGCTGACTTCAGTGTTAGCATAAAGTCGAGCACCTTATTAGTTTTACTCATTACTGTTGTTGGAAAAACTTTCAATCTAGTTCCTATGTTTAACAAAGTATCCTGTGTAGCCATATACCACAAGAATATTAAAATATGGCCATTTAACTCACTGGATGATGTCCACCTGTATACGGTTTTGCTAATATTTTTTTTCATCATTTCTGCTAAATCAATAAATGTTTTCTTTGACATGCGGAAAACTTTTGTGAATTGAAAGTTATCATAGCTACAAAACCATGGTTCCATCATTAAAAATTTTTTTATGAAAAAAAAACATTTCTCCCATGAATATTATGAAAGGTTTCTTATTTAAACTTTCCATACACCGTTGTAGACAAAAAAAGCATCAATTATTAAGTGATAATTTACGCACTCTCCTAAAATAAACAACTTCCAACAAAACCGCGGTTAAAAACAACGCGTTCAAGCGATTCGTGTAACTGACGTCATCAACCCGTGTGTCATCTTGAACCATATTATAACCGCGGCACATAACACAGAAATTTTGGTTATTCGCTTGGATTTGATTAAGGTGTTACTTTCTGTCACATCATGGTGACAGAGGCACACCAACTATAAAATCAAATTCAAGCGGATAACCAAATGGAAATGGTACTTACCGTTTTGGGTTGGTATTTACCAATCCGTTCAAGCGAGTGTAGTTATCAGTTTGGTTATAAGATCCGTGACGTCACGAATCAGCTGTTATATGTCATAGTTATCACCGCAAAATTGTGGTATTTACGAAACTCAAGAGTAGTTTTATATTTCTGGTTATTATTTGAAATGTGACAAGTTAGAATTTTGCCGGGTATTGGATATTGTTATTGTACTTCAGCTTCATTTTTGAGAAAAATGATACAGGCTGACTTCAGTTTTACCATAAAGTGAAGCACCTTATTAGTTATACTCATTACAGTTGTTGGGGACACTTTAAATGTAGTTCCTATGCTTAACAAAGTATCCTGTGTAGCCATATACCACAAGAATATTAAAATATGGCCATATAAACTCACTAGATGATATCCATCTGAATACGGTTTTGCTAATTTCTTTTTTCATCATTTCTGCTGAATCAATAAATGTTTTCTTTGACAAGCGGGAAAATTTAGAGAATTGAAAGTTATCATAGCTACAAAGCCATGGTTCCATCATTAAAAAAAATCTGAAAAAAACATTTCTCCCATGAATATTATGAAAGGTTTCTTATTTAAACTTTCCATATACAGTTGTAGACGAAAAAGCACCGATTATTAAGTGATAATAAAAATAATCAGAGATTATATACGCGCTTTTCTAAAATAAACAACTTGCAACAAAACCGCGGTTAAAACCAACGCGTTCAAGCGATGCGTGTAACTGACGTCATCAACCCGTGTGTCATCTTGAACCATATTATAACCGCGGCACATAACAGAAATTTTGGTTATTCGCTTGGATTTGATTTAAGTTGTAGCTACAGGAACTGAGCGTTATGATTTTTTGGTATCCTTTAGTATTCCAAATGCTGTCCCTCTTTGACATCACTTGTTTACAGCACAACTATTACGATTTACGAGTATTGTGACTTGTGACAAATCTAAGTCTGGGTAATATATTAGCTATACAGATTGCACTTAAAACGTGATATATGTTCTGTTGGTTGCTCAATAGTAATTTGAAAAGTGTGTAAAGCTTGACTGATTTTGTTCGGGGTTGGTGTTGCTGCGAAGTACTATGTTAGATGAATGCCTAAATTGGAAATATACATTTATGAGATTTGTTTCGCGGTGCGCCTTTGGCCTGTATAGAAACTGCGCCGATCAATGCTCAAAATCAATATCACACGTCCCGCATCTCTTCTCGCGTATGTGTCTATTTATGTTGCTATATTGAATTTGTTTAAATCACAGAGCTGCTGCGCTATACGAATAAGTACAGCCCTGTATTCCTGTACTTGTTTAGTACAAACATACATTACCAAAATAATTGCGATCTAACAGATATAGTTTTTTCCAAGGATTTCCAACATTTCTACATGCGATCAACACCGGTTCGGAAACTGAGAAAACAACTATGCAGTAAAACTAAGTTCGACAACGAAAGTCTGAAAAATAACTGTAACATCTATGTATATTGAATTTCAAAAACGCCAACCCCTACTGAGCGGGGCCGTGGCAAATGCTTGTTCCGGAAGTTTTTGTATCCAGCATACAACTTCTTCCCGTACAAGTGATTGTACACGCGTTAAGGAATACCTCATCAGTACCGATTTCCGGGTGGCGATACAAGTCCGCCATCGGACCACTTTAGGTCTATTTAATATCATTAACACGCAAAAGGAAGGTGGTAGACAAGGACCAGTCGACCGAGGCGGTACCACCCTATAGCTTTTCCCAGGGTGTCTTATAAATGTCCGCGTGTTCCCACACCTAAGCTATGGAGTCGGTTATCTTCCAAAACAAAGAAATTAAAGTTAATGGTTCACTCGAGTACTAAGAATTCCGGATGTAAGCTCACTCCACTCTCAGAATGTCCGGGTGGAGGGTGGACTTGAGGGAACAACATCGAAGATAAAATTTGTTTCACGAACATCTGCTTTTCTTGGCTTAGACAAAAATCTCAGAGTCCGCACCGATTAACCATCTTAGCTTACCAAATTACGAGGAGCACTCCAATCTGAGAAAGAACGGGGGAATTGCCTTCTTTGTCTGCAGCAGTCTTTCCTGCGCAGAGATGTTTCTCTGGAATCAGACCGGAAGGACATTCTGTGGCTTCGCCTCAACTCCAAAACATCCCCCAAATTTATTTGCTGTCTTTATCGCTCCCCTCGGATCATAACTTAGGTTTCGGTCAGAATCCGCTGTTTCAGCAGAAACTCGCACAGGGCGCAAAATTTGGCATTACGGACATGCCGACTGGGAAGGACTCAGAGGCTTCTTCTCTACCTTTCCTTGGAGAAATGTATGTTTCACCGACGCAGATGCGTCGGCTGTCTGTTCTTCGATAACCGAAATCCACGTCGGAATACATGCCTCATACTGCTGATGCAATAGAAGTGCTTGATTGTGCCAGTATTTGCACCACTTACTTGATTTGTTTAATGGGCAGTTCAGAGTCTTAATCCTTAAGCTTATTACATACCACTAGACCCCGTTGCGCAATTTGTCTATAGGCAGTCTGGAGACGGTCTCAAGACACGATCTATAGCTGGTCTACAGACGTCCTTCTTTGTCTTGTCTAGCATCCATACGATAATGTAAATTTTTTGGTCTCATATTTGTTTTCGCAGTCAGACATTGTTTTGTGTGGAATGGACTGGACTGGGGGACGTTATCTATGCTGATGATATCTCATCTCTCATTAACTATAAGCGGCCAGCAGTGGTTGCCGCAAAAGTAGACTCTTCGGTCTCCTGATCAGTCGCAGTGCGCTGTGCGGATCCGAATCCCGTTCCAAGAGAAATTTTTCTCTTGGCTATGGATGTTGTGATTGTCCGTAGGTGGTAGACGGTCTCTGACTGTCGAACGCGGAGGTACCACCCGGCGGATCTCGTAGGCGGGGCCAGAATGTGTGCATGAATCCCTCGCCAGAGTCCATGTGGCGTTCCCCCTTTCCCCTGCACCCCCCTATAGCCCCACGGTACCCCATGGCTGTTTAGGCCTTCATGGTGGTCGGAGTATAAAAAAATGTCTCCAGGTCCCTTAGAATGTTTTATTTATTTTTTGTCGGTTAACAGAGCAGTGGATTTGTTTATGTTTGAATCTTTAATATTATTACATTAGTTAATTATAAATGCCACGTACTTATTTTGTTCTCATATAATAAAATATTGGCTTTCTCAGCAATTTCCATGTTTTTTTTTTCAAGCTGGCCTTGACCAGATAGAACACAGTGGATTTAAGGAGCAATAATAGGATAAATTCTAGAAGTTCCACTGAGGTTAAAAAATGACCAGCCCCAAATATCGTTTGCGCCCTCCCCTAGACGAGATCCTCAATCCGCTCTTGTATTCTTATCACTTTTTCTCATCTAAAAATCGAAAAGGAAAACTGATAAGAACAAAAGTGATCACTCGTTTCATTCTTCCATAACTTATATTTGTTAGCAAGTGCCGATTGAAGAAAACATTCACAATAAAATGAACAAAAAATGCATTTTTTGCCAAAGAAAAAATGAAAACATTGTTTTTTGTAATCTCTATACACAACATAAATTATCAGATGAAAAGGATTTAGAATAGTGCTGTAAACAGGTAGCTGAAAAAAATCTAAAAAAAGAACGTGCCACCTTAAGGCCTTGTGAACTATGAACTCATCATTAACACATTTTCCAAGTATTTGAAGTAATGAGCCAATTAGTACGTGTCCCCTGGTGATAATTTTGTACTGATGTTGGTAATAGTGAATCTGCTCAAATTCAGTTGCATATGAGAACTACTGACACCAAACTTATTTCATCCTCGTATCTGACTTAAATGCAGTTAGCAAGATTAGCAGGAATATTGCTTGACTCCTGTTTGTGTAACGTAACTTTTTTAGCTGATAAAATGTGGCCAAACCAAAGTAGAAATACATTTAAAATATAAATATTTCTGGAATGTATGTTTATTCCCAAGTACTTTATAACATTACAGTCAACATGAATAAAATATATGTAAAACAAAATAATACAGTATACAGTCCTCAAAACTAGATATATATAAAGAAAAATAATTCTTGAACTAATAAACAGCCATAAAACATATTTGTTTTATCCATCACAAATTGATTTATTGTAAATTGCTGAATGGAACCTAAAGCCTAATTAGTCCGACATAGTTGTGCCAATCTATGAATTACCACAATACGAACAACACATTTATAAAATGTAAAAAACAACAATCACGACCACAATATAGAACACAAAAATCGGCTTTTCAACTAAAGATGATATTTGACTCTCAAACCTTTTCTGACTACAGAAAGCATTTTACCTATCAATTCTTATTTTTAGAATATCCGTTATTTGAAACATGGAATGTGGATATAAGATAGGGAGTAAATAATATAACAAAGTAGATCTGGAAAACCTAATTTCAAACACGCAATCTTTAAGCTGCCACATATAATCTTAGGATCATAAAAGCTCTCAGTGGATTACTGAAATAACTACCGATTTAGGGTTTTTGAGTGATACATATAATTTTATCCAGAAAGCCTTTCTTGGTGAAATCGACATGTATTTTGTGAAAAGGGCTTTATTTGAGGATTACTATCCAAAATAACAGCTGTAGAAGACATAATGTTATGAAACATTAAAATACAGAGTGTTTCGTACTTAAATGGACCTAGTGAAGTAAGAGTTAGTATGATCTGATACCTGCTCATGTGTGAAAATAAATAAGTTCTAATTTCCGTTTTATCTTAATACGCCAAATGTTTAATATCACTTATATCAGGCTCTACTAAACCCATTTTGTTAAAATTTTGCAAGATAATAAAGTTTCCTAGGAGTAATGTAAAACTCGACGGATGGTTAAAAAATTCAGAGCAACCTTTTGATCTCTTCACTTTTTTATTTTTCATCGAACTCAACATCTTCTGAGATGAATATTGCAATGTTTGACTATGTACAAGAAATGCCAATGGATAAGGCTAATTAATAAGCCAAACAGATTGACTGTGTCCTTTTTAGTTTTTCGATTCAACGTTTTTATTCATTAAATTTTTTTGTTTTCAGCAGTTCATGTGACACAAACCCAATTTTTTTAGGGTTATAAGTTTGATTTTTACTAAAGAACTAAAAGAAACCTAACCTATCTAATTTTATAATTATATAGCGCCATTCATTGGCTTTTTTGTATCTAGTCAAACATTTCAATATTGAGCATAGGTGTTGTTGATTGAAATGAAAAAAAAAAGTGAAGTCCGCTCTCGATTTTTCAACCGTCCGTCTAGGTTTACATTGCCTCTAGGTAACTTATCGTGCAAAATTTCATCAAAATTCGATAAATCACCGTGTATCAGTAAAAACTAGATTTAGACCTTTTTTATCTTCATATATGAAAAGATTTCGGTCCATACTGCCTACCATTTCGCTGTGTTCATTTTAAGTATGGAACACCCTGTATAGAAAAGAGAGATACAATAACCGTGTGCACCAAGCAAAAACCAATTTACTGAAAGGAAACATATTTATCGAAAAGAATACCAGTGTGAGGAAGATCGCTTCTTCTGTGTAGAGTTCTTAAGAATTTCTGAATTCACGAAAAGTGCATAGGAACTAACTAAAATTCCAAAGTACAGGTACAGTATCCACTTCCATCAAAGCTCTGTCTTTGCATTTGTTGGAGAAAATGATTTCAATACATTCAGTCTACGTGAGATCTCTTCTTTTTTCTTCTGGCTGATCTTGCCGCCACTGAGGATCTTCTCCAGTCTTTTGATCTCGAGCGTCACAAAAGCTGAACTCGAGTTTAGCACTTTGTCCATGTACTTCAGATAGGTTTTTGCTAAGTCTTTTTCTCGCTGTAAATTAAACAGGTTCAGGTCATATCTTCAATATTTTTATTTGTGATATGACATGCTCATTCAGAATGATCACACATCATTAAAACAAAACGATATGGGAGTCCCAGAGGGCCAATCTCTTTAATTTACAGTAACCAGAAAAAATGTCACTGGTTTCTCTAAAAAGACGTCATAAGGGGCTCACCTATAGGGAGATATGGGAAACCGGTTTATCTTAAATAACTCCTCAACTAATCAAATCTACGAAATTTAGATAGCTAAGTAACCAGTTGGCATCTTACATGAGCATGTTTATACAAAACAACCGATCCAGATTGTCAGGGAATAACTTAATATATTGCTAATTTTTCAACATTCGGTATAATAATGGTTCAGAAGGATATTTTGAAAAGCTTGAACCTTCATGCATTTTCACTGGACATCAATAAAATAAGATATTTTTGTCAAAAACAGTCTTTGTTAGCTGGTCTGCTTTTCAAATTTTGTTGAATTACATAGCTTTGTTCAAAAATTATTCAAGACAAACCAATTCTGCACGCGTTTTTACGGGCCTGTATCTTCGTATCAACATGAATGAGTTGAAATATTTAGTATTCAATGTGAAAAGGTATTGTAAACACCTTGATTACATCATTCTAGAGAAACAAATGTACATGATATACTCAAATTAATTCGATGTATACTACAAAAAAAAAATAAAAATTATTTTTGTGAAGTCCTAGAAGTATGGTTGAATTCTAGTCATTATTTGGGATATTGCTACTCCACTCTCACATCCATTCGCTCAAAAGTGTTGTAAATCATTTATTAAAAAGGAGCATATTGAAATAGCTACAAGGGAAGTCTTTTAAGTTTTGCATATGGAAATAAAACAACACGGTAGGTAGTTTTAATGACTTTATTGTTTTTCGAAGTATTCTCCACGAAAATTAATACACATCTGCATGCGCTCGAACCAATTTTCGAAGCACTTATTCCACTTGTTTGCTGGCAGATCCAAAACGGCATTTTTGAATGCGCCAACTGCTTCTTCTGGTGACTGGAACCTTTGACCACGCAGTCTGTTTTTAATTTTCGGGAAAGTGAAGAAATCGTTCGGACTTAGATCGGGACTATATGGAGGATGGTCCAATAATTCCACGTTTTCCTCCGTTAAATACTGCCTTGTTTTTTGGGCTGTGTGCAAGCTTGCATTGTCTTGGTAGAGGACGATTCTTCTTTCGGGGTTGATTTTTCGAAGCTCGGTGATGACCTTTGGCAAACAAATGGTGGTATACCAATCCGCAGTAACAGTTCTTTGCTCATTAAGAGGAATTGTTGCAATATGACCCGCTTTTGACACAAATGTCGCGACGATCTTTTTCGAAACACTTCGAGAACGGATGACTTTTGTTGGCTTTTCTTCACCTTTGAACACCCAACAGCCGACTGTCGTTTATTTTCTGGTTCATAACAGTAAATCCACGATTCATCACCACACATTTTTTGAGTTTCCAGAATTGAAACGGTCTAGCGTTTTTCGACACCAGTTGACCCTGGCTGCTTTCTGCTCTTCAGTCACCAGGTGGGGTATCCAACGAGAAACTAATTTTCTTACTCCTAATTCTTCATGTAAATTTTTTTGAATTGAGGTCTTCAAGGACGCCTCAATCTCTCGATATGTCACATGTCTATCTTCAATGATGAGTTTGCGCACAGCATCGACGTTTTCCTGGGTGACTGCCGTTTTTGGTGCACCCACCCTGGGATCGTCGCCAAGACTCACCAGTCTACGTTTGAATTCTCCATACCAACGGGAAATTGACTGATGTGGCGCTTCGTTGCCGAAAACAGACAGTAACTCAGCAAGGCATTCTTGTTGCGATAATTGTCTCTGAAAGTTGTGATAAATTATGGCGCGAAAATGTTCTCGGTTGAGTTCCATTTTTCTAAGGACTTGGTGACACTTAAAAATTCACTGTAGTGAGAACATTGCACGTATTGTTGTGAAACTTTTAATTCAAGTTTAATAAAGAGTGAGGTTAAGATTCAGTACTGACGTTCGATCCGCGCGGCCTACTATGTTTCTATATAAAAGACATCCCGCGTACTCCATCCAAAATACCCTAGCATTATATTATGAAGTTGTTATGTGTTTCATGTAAATGTAACTACTGTTAACAATAGTGGTACTAATTACACCAATTTTAGCCTATCTTGAGCATTGGTGACGAATGGTGTGTTGAACTAAAGCAATGTTTTACCTCATTCTTCAATTTATTAGCTTCCTCTTCAGCCGCTTTGTAAACAGTCTTTTTTTCTTTAGACTCCATGAACTTTTCTGCAATCTTGTCAAATGCTTCTAAACAACCTGGCAAGCCTAAGTAAATATTTGAGTGGTCTCTGATGAATTTCTTCAGGTTCTCTTCATTCCATGGCATGTGCTTGTCAAACGCAAAAGGCTCATCTTCTCCTTGCACAAACAACCTATTGTATAATGATAAAAAATCACATAATTTAATTAGAGCATAAGAAATGTGTCACTAAACACTTATAGGAAAGGAGTGCAGTAAAACTGGCTACATTTGCAGTACAATATATCATAATCTCCCAGTGAATAGTCAACATTGGGCACAAAGTTCGATAAAAAAACAGTTATCTAGTTCTAGTTTAACGTTGAGGAATATGTTCCTGGTTTCATGTTTGCTTCACTTACTGAATATTTTTCTACCCTACTAAGGAATCCTTTTATTGATATACGACGAGATGAACCCAACATGTCGCCAATATGGGACGCCGTGACTCGCGGAAGAAGCGCTCTAGCTAAATTTACAATTCACATAATCTCCACCAATTCTCCAGCAGCGCGGAAATCCGGATGTAAGAATTAATTTCCAGCCATGGCTTGTTAGCAGCATAGGTATTCAAGCGCAAAGCAGAGCAATATAGTTTAATGGATAAATGTTCTTCTGTGTTCATTTACACGGTGGCCATGCGCCAAATAAGCGCTTGGCCACCTGAAGTGTAAACGTCGGCTTTTCAACTGTATGACATAAACAAGCATAAACAACCATAGGTTCCTTATAGTTAATCACCTACCTTAGTAGATTTTATTTCGGATTTGGAGAACAAATAGTATATACTAGACTACTATTATGAATCTAGCATATAATCCAAAAATTGAATAATGTATAGGGTGAACATGAACTTTATGCACAGAAAAATTAGGAAACCATACATATTACAAATCAATGATTTGTACTGCATGCCTTTTTCCATACATTATGTGTGGTATTCTTTGTATTCTAGTTGTAAATTTTCCCTCAATAATTGAATGGTGTGCCACTGACTTTCTATAAAGCTTTATTACTCAAAAGTTAAGATGTTTAGGACATACATTCATGAAATGTACCAAAAGATTGTCATCTTAAATATTGACATCTAATTAGGAAACTCCCTGTATGTTGGAAATGAATCAAGAAAAAGATACATAATCTTTGTAATCTAAGGTAAATAAAAATGTAAACTAAGGTAATAAGAACTAACCATATTTGGGAAAAATTGTAGTTCTATGTTTTGTATTTAAGTTAAAATGGACTTAACAACAATATGAAATACTTTCTGGAGATATATTATCCCTTTTCATAATTATTTGACACTTTTGTCTTAGCATCTCAGGGAATATGAAAAAATAAGTATTTTTTTATCTTATCATATTTTTGCTCACTTCTTTACTACAGTACTTATAATAAAATTTCCATTCTTTGTCCATGCTTTTTTTTTAAAATCAAAAGAAGAGAATATAAAATATAACCTTTGGAAACTTGAAAACAAATTTTGAGTTAATGTCACTCTGAAGCAGGCCAAAAATGTGATATTTAAAATGCTATTATCATTATAGTTTGGTTTTAAATATATAATACCGGTATTTCCATGAATAAAATATGTATTTACAGTATTATATATAACATATATGATCATCAGGAAATATTCAAAAAAAATATTCCCTATTCTCATGGAAAATAAATTCCAGTGAAACTGGTTGATATTTTAGCATGCTATCATCTATACCACCTGATCAAAAGTTTCTGTGAGCAGAAGGTTAGAGTATCACTGGCTTCTGAGATACAGGGTGCACAAGACGTTGGAATGTTGATCGAAAATAGTTCCTGACAAAATTGCTTGGAATTTTAGTAAGTTATTTTCCATATCACTTTGATCAAAAGTCTTCATTAACAGGAGACTCTGATGTCAATGGTTTTTCAGTTACAGGGTGTGCAAGTGAAGCAAATTCAAAGAAATGATTTTTGGGAAAATGCCAGCATAACATTATGGTCTATTTGGATGTTGATTAGGAAAGCAATAAATAGCAACTTCAATGTTGTTTTTTATTTTCTTGAAAAAGATGAATGTGGAAAGCGGTTCTCCATCAAATTGTAGCTACTTCTACATAATTCTGATTAAAAATCTAAGTATCTAGAAGATTATATACTAACAATTACAGGGTGATAAGTATAAATAAATGAAAACTTATAACTTCATAAGCACATAGGGCTCCCTATTTTTGAGCTCAAACAGACCCAGACCACACAAAATTCATGGTTAGGGCATTATTGTGCTAGAGTATCCTTTTGCTCTTCAACTCATTAAAAATTGCTGATTTAGAACCATACGAGTTATAATATGGATACTTATAGTCTTAACAGATAAAACCAAGTGTGGATGGGGGTGTGTTATTCTTCTGATAGCAAAAGTATTATCATATTCTTGTATTACCTAAGAGCCGGCAGGTCATTTTTGTCCTTGATACCAAACTTTGCAGCAAAATCCACATTTTCCTTATCTCCATAATCCTTCACGCCGACTTGGCCTAGAAGTAGGGGCTTTACATCAACTATTTCATGTGCCAAAGTTGTGAAGATATCGTGCTTGTCTCCGAAAGGGTATGCAACGTCGAATTTGACCAATACTGCTTCAAATTTCGGAACAATTTTTTCGAAATTAAACTCATCTATATTAACACAGCCTTTGCACGCTTGAGATGTCGAGAATACGGTCAAAAATACTACAAGTAACAACGGAATGCGAGACATAATTAGTCCTATTTCCTAATTCTACGTACAGTAAAAATTTTTGAATAATACTGCACCAATTTAAGGAACTCTTTCCAAATAAATAAACCAATAAACGTCAACACGTCACTGGCACGACGTCAGGTGACGTTAGTGCTACCATTTGTCACTTGGCTCCTTGTGATTGGTTGGTTGAAGAGAATTAGCGTACGAACGTTGTCAAGTTTCAAATTGTAGATCCAGTTTCATGAAATGTATGGTGTATCTGTATAGTTTTACAAACATCACGTAAAAAGTGCTCTCAGAGCTTCAGGAAGGAAATTTTGGTGACCTTTAATCCACGCAATATGTAGTAAATTATATCATAATATTATATGCGTCCGTTATTCATCTTTGCGGCGATAAAAAAGCACCTATGGATATTTTTAGGCCTTCGTGGAAGTTCAAGTGTAAAAAAGGTATGGAGTAATGTAATTACCCATAACTCTCAATCAACTTGGAATTTGCATAATATATTAAATACACTATATCCTCAGTGGCAGTGGTAAATTGTCCGCCCGGGGCCTGTAGCAAATTACATAAAGGGTCCAGGGGCAAACCCAAAGATAAATTTTGGGGAAAGAAAAGGAAATGCTTGACAGTTGAAAATTGAAAAGCAAATTAGTGTTTCTAAAAGCGGTGTATCTCGGCGATTGAAAACTTAAGAGCGGGGGTGTGGGTCATCATCATAAAGCGTCGGTGCGCGGGGCCCGTGTTCTATTCCATGGTTTTGTGGTGTATAGGCTGGTATACTGAATTTTATTTGGGATATGGCAACAGTGAATTACGTGTTAATTGTTGCAAACACTCGAAATTTATCTGTCCCAGATAAGATTAGTTGGAATTTAAATTAGAGGAAAATTAATATCTATTTTTCAAAACGCACTTAGCTTTATTCCAGAATTTCTATATTGTTTCTCATAGATATACCTATGTACATATCAAAATCCAATTACCGTTTTCAAATAGGGTTTCACCTTGACAGAATTGCATTTCAAGGCTGATACGGCGTTTCGCTCCTCGTTATCGTTAGCACGTTGAAATAACTTATTCCGAATTTGTTCAGTGAAAGAGAATTCATTTATATCCTCCGTATTTTCCGTAGATATGACAAATGCAGGGTCACATGCTAAGAACACGGCTACTTTGTCATTAGAGATTTTTTCGCGAGATCCCGTAGTGAACTGGTGGAATTTCCCCTTCCTCTCGAAGTTATGACAGTTTCAAGTTACACCGGGAGTCGTTAGATGGCGCAAGTTGCGCAAAATGTTTGCTTTAAGCTCCTTGATAAACTTAGCTGCCTTGTTTGAATCTGAAATAAAAAGATCGATAGTTTTTTTGTGCAATGAAAATATATATCAATAAAATCTATCCTTTGATATGACAAGTGCGGCTCATATAGCTTCGTTGACCTTCTCCCTCGTCATTTAAAATTAGGTGAACGTGTTCCTCCATTTATGATTTAATAATTTAACTCAATTTTCGGCACTCCGAAGACAAATTTTCAATTGAGATGCCTGTTTTTTAAATGAAATTGACATAAAACCTGTCCCCCGCTGGTACCTCACAGACGTTAGGTGGGTACCCGTACCATGGGATTTTTTGACAGTCGGACGACGTCACATCCGTCTTCCCCTATTCCCGTTCTGCGCGAAAATTTGAGTATCGGTGCCCGGTAGTGCACTGTGCTACGCCGTGGACTCGCGAAAAATCCTTATTGAGAAAATCTGAAGAGGAGCGGGAGAGGACAGGTGCGGGTCCAGAGGTGCAAATGTGCATTCCCCCCGAAAATGAGGAAACGAGAAAAGGGATAGACCACACTGTCCTTTAATTGAAAATTTTACTTAAAATAAATGTACATTCTGTTCTTATACTGCTATTTACCTTAGTTTCCCAAATTACGAGGTGCACTCCAATGGGAAGAAGAACGGGGGAGTTGTGGCTTTTGTCCGCAGCAGTCATTCCTGCTCCAAAGATGTTTCTTTGGAATCAGACCGGAAGGACATTCTGTGGCTTCGCCTCAACTCCAAAACATCCACCAAATTTATTTACTTCCCTGATCGCTCTCCCTCGGACCATAACTGGGATTACCTACTTGAATACTTCGCCGTCCAGATCGACTTCCTGAACATCAATCACCCCGCTTCAGAGGTAGTTCTCGCTGATTTCAATGCCCATAATGAGCTTTGGTTAGGCTCAAATAAGACCGATGCAGCAGGTCATGCAGTTGAAGCGTTCGTCCTTACTCAAGGGCTGACATAGTTGGTAACGAGCCCTACATTTTTCCCGCGCGTCGCGTCACATGCCAGTAGCCTGCTGTATCTCTTTTTGACCACGTATCCTGTCCGTTATAGCATTGCTGTCTTGTCCCCCCTTGCTAACTCAGCAAAATTTGGCATTACGGACCTACCGACTGGGAGGGGCTCAGAGTCTTCTTATCCACCTTTCCTTGGGGATATGCCTGTTTCACTGAACAGCTGTCTGTTCTTCGATAACCGAAATTATCCACCTAGGAATGGAGGAATACATCCTTTACAGTGAAAGTGCCAAAGCCAGGGTCCAACAAATCGTGTGCCTCTGCTCCCCAGCAGAAGATCAAGGCACCCAGAACCTTCTTACAAAACCCCACTGTAGAGAACAGACAAGCCGACGTCGATTCCAGAAACACATATAACGAAGCGGTTCGCAATGCCAAAAACTGGCACGATATAAAAGTTAGGCACAGGGTGATGTCGCAGCGCAATGGCAGTCGGTCTTTCTGGACGCTGGCCAAGCAGATCGAAAAGAACTTCTCACACCGTAGCCTTCCACCACTTACGTGTCAGGATGGAACGATTGTATCCGACTCAAAGGCCAAGGCGGAAGTGTCAGGATGCCAACTCCACATCGACGTCCTTACAACATCCACGTGGCGTCAATTCAAAGGGTTCTCTACACTTTACGGGAAGTAACATTCAGGCATAAGACCGTAACATGGGTGATATTGTCGCTCGACATCAACAAAGCTTCTGGTCCAGACTTGATTCCTGTCATTGTACTGAAGAGGTGTGTAGCGTCTAGTTATTTCGCGTCTCTTCCAGATATCTTATGAATCCGGCACTTTCCCAGAAAACTGGAATTTTTCTCATGTCGAACCCTCCCTTGAAACAAGGATCTAAGACCGACTCTTAGGCCCGTATCGTCAGTCGTCCCTACAATTGTAGGGCGCGTTTATGGCCTCCTTGATTGTCGTACTACTTTCTCTCCTTCAAAAATTTCTAGATTACACTTGTCCCGTGTCAGCGTCAGCGCTCTCCTATTATGAAGACATGTTTTCTTTTTAAATTGTAGGAAATTTCAGGCTGATGAAACATGATATAACTCAAAAGCAAGCACAATTTGATGCAAATAGATGTTTGCGACATAACCTCAAAATAGAGTTCTGACACGGAGAAGTAGAAAACTATGACAATCAAGGAGGCCATAAAGGCGCCCTACAATTGTAGGTACGACTGACGATACGGGCCTTACAACTATAGGCCTACCGCTTTCTGTTATAGGTAAGGTGATGGAGAGGTGCATAAATGGCGAGCTTCTGGACTACCTCGGACGCCACGGCTTGATTAGCGATAGGCAGTACTTATGGTTTTCGGCACCAACGATCCATAAAGGACCTCCTAGATTACGTCACGCAATTGTGGAGTAAACTCATAAAGTCTTATGATGAGGCTCATATTGTTGCTCTTGACATCACGAAAGCGTTCGATCAGCTGTGGCACGCTGCCCTCTTATGCAAACTTCCATCCTATGCCCTCCCAGAAAAGCTTTGCAGATGGGGACTTTTCTCTGGCCGCAAGATATCCGCCGTAATTGACGGGTTCTCCTCTTCATCCCACAACGTCAACGCGGGTGTTCCCCAGAGATCGGTCTTGGCTCCGATACTTTTCCTGTTTCATATCAAGGACCTCCTCTCCTGCACGACCAACCCAATACAGAGCTTTGCTGATGACAGCACTCTACATGCAGGAATTCAGAGTGACAAACCGATTTATAGCGTTGTGCTGGACAAAAGAAGACTAGCGACGACTTCCTCTCTGACGAGAGACCTGGAGGTTATCACTGCTTGGGGACGCAAGAATCTTGTACAGTTTAATGCTTCCAAAACACAGTACTGTACCTTGACGAAAAAGCTAGGCTATTTGTTTAGGGCTAAGAAGTATTTTTCTCCGCATGACCTTCTCACTCTATACAAGGCCCAGATAAGGCCTAGCCTCGAGTATTGCTCACACGTTAGGGATGCTGCCACCCCGACTACATGATTGTCGAGACCCTTTTGCACCGGCGGGCCGTCGGCGATCTAGCTCTCTCCTACCGCTACACCAACGGGCTTTGCTCCTCAGCTGCCGCGCCTGATTTTGGCCTCCCAACCTAAGAGAGTCGAACTTCGTACATCCAGAACTGGCCGATACGACCGATCCTTTGTCCGGAGGGTGTCGATATTGTGGAACAATCTATAAGAGAAACCTTTCCCAGTTCTACTAACCTTAGGCAATTCGAAAATCGGACTAACAAAATTTCTTTGGAATCCTCATAGAAAATTATTAGTTCCCTTCTTAATTACTTTATAATAAGCGCAAACGTCTTGACAATACCCCTTGAAAGTAGGTTACCCACACCACTTTCCCCCCAAGACGTGATCCTGGATCCGCGCCTGCAAAAGGGGGTGATCTAATATTTTTTTAGAATATTTTGTTGCTCCTTGTGCTAATGAGAGGTGAAAGGCAGAACACAGAATAGTACGACAAAAACTTACGAAGCAAATTATTGCCCTGTTTCTGTAGCCAAGCTTTTCTCAATACCGATGCGTTACGATAGTTTACATAGCAGACTGCGTTGTCCAAAGAGACAGGGGAAACTCCAAAACATGCTTCTGATGTCAGTCAGACTTTTGAAGAAAGAGGTATATGACAGACCAGGAACCAAATGGCGCGGGCTTGGACCATTGCGACTAATCATTGAGACCTGGTTATCTAGGTGTGACAGAAGACATAATATGTCCATATTATGGTGTAGGGGGTACGATGGTGAATGCAGACAGGGAATATGTATTCACCCTCCTTTCACTGTTTGGCTTAGTTTGGCGTTCAGCAGTTCTTATGGTCTCACTTCTCAGGTCTTGCAAGGTAATTTTACACCAAAATACATTAATATTTACTACAATCTTTCGCTCTGAATATGTCACTGACAGACAAGATTTTCGATTATAAAAACTGCACTCAAATCGGATGCAATGCCATAGGCTGGCACACACAAAATACACACATGTTACACTTATAACACCTCATGTATTTGCGTCGTGAATAAAAAATGTAGAAAAGCACTAAATGTTCAATTGATTAGAAATTGGAAGTACCGCTCAGTCGCATGTTCTTTGAAAAATCGTTCGAAATTGATGCCGTTCAAGCAAACGACTCGCGAGCCATCAGCAGCATCTTGATGACATTGTAAACTTAACTCGACCAGGGGATCAGTTCATCAAAAAGGGGGGAGAAGAACAGCTGATAAAAAGGGCGTGGTTCTATTATCTTTGTCGGAACTGTACTCTTCGCTCCCCTGCTCCTTTTTTGGACACAAAGTACGGATATCTCGCCTTCGTTCATCAGTCTCATCGCTAGAGACGAAATTAATTTTGTGATGAAATATTTAATGATGCGCGGAACCTAGGAACCTATTGTTTCTCCAAAAATGTATTAATTTAGAATGTTGTTCCATAAAGACCAGCTATCAAAAAGGTAATATAACACTTTCGACACCCTCGTTTTTGAGAATCTACTCTCTGGCTGTATAAGAAGCGCCTAGGGCTCCTCCTCAGATATAAAAAAGATACCAAAATAAACTTTCTTAAATTTTCGTATAAAAACTTTTATTAAATGACTAGAAACAATTATTTCTTATACATTAACGCCTGCTTATCGTGCGCCTCAAGGAATGCTTTAAGTTTTTTCATTTCTCGCTGAAGGCCTTCGTGCAATTGTTCTACACTAGGTAGTTCTCCACCAAGATCGGACGGCAAGAGGCTGGCTGGAATATACTGCTCGTGCAATTCTGACCATGGCATGCCCGGCGGATGAGCAATGATCTGGAAATCGTAACACGAATTTTAAATAGTATTGAGACCTATATTACTTGAATCTTAGCTAAGAGAGCTATGCAGCAAGCTACCTTGAAAAAAACGTAAGTGCAGGAGAATCATCAGGTGCGCGCACACATAAATGCAGGCGTGAGGCTACCAAGATATCACGAGGCTACATAAGATTCTGGGTAACAAGAAACTATGGAAATAATACAAACTTTGACCTTTTTCTGGAAAACACGTACATATGTTTTTAACCCCGATAGAAAAAAGGATCACTGTAATAAGTTTAATAGGTGTGCGTCTGCCTGTGGCATCGTAGCTTTCCACTCTACGTATCTTGAAAAGTGACATAATGCCTATTTTTTTGATAACATTATGTACGTTTTTCTACAAGATGTTAACTTAGCACTAGCTGATGGATACGTTGTGAACTCGTTTTGTAGTTGTACGTGTTGCCTAAACGTCATGAGGCTCTGATGTGATGTAAAATCTACTTCAGAGATAGCATTATTGGAGGTAACGGCAATACATAAGTGCATAGACAGGATTTGTGTGTAAATAATATGTGTTGATGATAATTACATTGGATTCTTGTCTCAATTACACTTTCTGGAGATTCAAAGCTAGAAATTAGTTTCGCATCCACTTTTTGTTATCCATTCTGGAAATTATATATGCTGAAATTCAAAAATGAGAGACATAAGAAATAGTTGTATTCACTGTACACTGTCGAATTACGAGTCATATACATGCGAACAGTAATTACCCACAACGCGGGCGCGGTGGTGGTTTCCCGTAATTCTCTTCAAAGTTTTTTAAACACAAAAATTTTAAAAATTGTAATTTATAACTTTGAACATAACATGTCTTCAGAAAGGACAATATATAAATAACCCGTCGGGCACAGCTAATAGATATACTTTATTCTCAGCATATTCAGTAAGGATTATCTGCCACAGCAAATATCACTGATTTTATACACATGCAGACCAATACCCACAATCATCCAGATGCGATCTTGATTAAAAACTACAGCCCACTCGGCTTCACAAAACATATGCAACCAATAATGCGTGTAGTTTAGTTGCGTGATTCCTTCATAGATGGACATTCACAACGATCCTAGTGAGCAAACGTGGAATCACTGTTTGCGACCTAAGAACTACCTAGTCTGCGAGATGACATCTTACACGTTTTATAGGTTTTTTACATAATACCCGTCCGTTCGACCGAGACACGCGTTCAAACTTTTTCATTTCATCGCTACTCCTATCTCCTAAAGCATAAGGACCCATATGACTATTACGAAGTAAAATTGACCAAGGAACTCGAAAATGAAGTTCAAATTGCGATCATATAACTCGCTCGACATATATTTGATTCAAAAGTTGTTTTTTTATGTTTTTGCCATATTGGAGTGATGAAACATAAGCCTAATTTAAGGTTGACCTTTGCCAAACTGTAGATTTGAGAGAAGCAGTGCATCGGGCATAAGGCATCACTGGCAATACATGTACATAATATCGTGCGAATCATTTATGTTACGGTTGAAGTCGGTCGAATTTCAATGTGTACGAGAGAGATAGAGAAGCGGTAGAAGCGTGCAACAGGCATATTAGAAAGTGTGAGCCCATAAGTAATCACCGCGTTATCTAGCCACGACAGCGAGGAAGGTCGCAGAGTACTCTTTCTAACATACGTGGTGCAAGCTTCTCTCTCGTACCGATTGAAACATGGCCGACCTCAACCGTAAATGACTCGCACGGTATGAGGCGGGTTAGGTGTGGCTCGTTTCAAGTAGGGTTTATATACGTCCATACCATTTAATTAAGGCGATTTTAAACAGCTTTAAGGTATACGTGTTACTTAACAGTGATTAGCTCAGTAATATCATTTCTGTAAAGCTCAGTAGAGTTGCATGTCCACTAAGCTGGAAACATACGAATGGAACAGCGACGACATTTCTCATTTGCACGCCTGGAACGTAGGACTTACTAGTTCGAATAGCTCCTTCTTCATGAACGGTTTAGCAATAGCTAATATTTTTTCGAATATATATGATGCGTTGATGATGTGAACTCTTTTCAGTTGAGTGGGCAAGGCTTCTTGTACGTAGGCGAAAAATTTCTTCAGGGTTCCAAGTTTCAGTCTCGTCAGATGCATGATGCCCACCTAAAAATTGATTCTAAAGTATTAATTTTATCATTTAATCATTTACAGTTATATTTTTCAAAAAGAGAAATGCGTAATTTTCAATGGATTTTGACATTCCTTCCTCTTTGTTAGGTTCAATAAAAAGTATAATATTTCGCACAAGCACTGAGTCGCAACGTTTCAGAGATTTTGGAGTTCGAAAATGGATAAAAAAATGAGAGACTGGGGAATAGTACATCCGGTGTAGTGCGGCGAAACAGATAAGTTAAACCAAATTATTAGTGTTTATTTTCATGTATTGTCTATCCATAAGTTGATTTCATGCCAATCGAATCACTTCACGCGGAGTTATGACAGTACCTTTTTAGCATCGGTCGAAAAATGAGCATCGAACAAAGAGCCAATATTAAGTTCTGTGTTAAACTTGGTAAAACATTTACCGAAACGCATTAGATGTTGATACAAGTGTATGGTGATGATTGTTTATCTCGTAGCGCCGAGTCCAGGAGTGGTTTACATGGTTCAAAGAGGGTCGTGAGTCGCTGGAAAACGACGAACATGTTGGCCAGCCAAAATCTGTGATTATGCCAGAAACCATCGAATAAGTGCGTGATTTACCAAAATGATCTAACATCTTCATTCAGATACATAGAAATGGAATTAAATATCTCTAAAGATTCAATACATCGCATTTTGACCAAGAATTTGGACATAAGAAAGGTGTGTTCACGGTTTATTCAGCATAAGCCCGCGGATGCCCAAAAATTGAGAGAGACATCATTAAACAGGCCAAAAAACACAAACACAATTCGATTTTCAGAAACAAAAATTGTTTGTCCATTTTTTCTTTGACCTGTTTACTTTGCTACAGAACTTGTATTACAATAAGTGGAGGCTGAAGTGTAATGCGAAAAAGACTGACTGTATCCTGTTCAGTTCTGCGCAGAAATAACGAAATGTAATCAACATCCAAAACAAGACATTGCCAGTACGAGAAGAGATAAGACACCTTTGAGCTCTATCTATATATTTTTACCGTTATAGATTGAACACATTACGATTCTTGAGCTGTACCTATAATGTGATTTAACCTTTTAAAATGTTTTGTAATTGTAATGTCCTTATTTATTTTATAATTATAAGTATTTTTCTGGCATATTTGCTCAAACGCATATATGACCTTCAAATTGATATTGACAAGTCTTATATCATGTAACATGATCTAATAGGACAATAAACTATCTATCTATCTGTAAGATCTCACATCAACGCTCGCCTACGTGGCCCTAAGGCAGGCGATGATGGACCCCATAATTGGATGGAAATCAAAGGACGATGTTGATGTGAAGATCCTAGTAATTTACGCGTGCATTGTTATCATTTTGAATTATGGAATTGTGCAACTTCTATCGAGGCTTGAATTCACTCAAGGTCTGCTTGAAAAAACCCTATAAGGGTAGCAAATTTGCAACAGAAAATGCTAGTGAAGCTACTGGAACAACCAATCACAGTTCTACCTGTCCACTTAGCCCTACAGTAGCCACGGTATCAAAGGAGAGGACAACATAATGTCTTAAAACCACCTTACGATCTTCGGATGCTCGTGCAAATATAATGAGATTGCTTCCTGCCAAATATCTGGAGTTGCTGCTTTGTATTTTTTTTTGAAAAATAAACTCACTATTTAACGTTGATATATACATTTTGATCGATTGATTGGTTCTTCATACTCACCCCTTTGATGTCTATAATGAATATAAGCCCGTCAGGTGGATTAGAATATAGAAGTACGTCGATGAGTGCGAATGCTGCTTTGACCTGTGATTCTATGTTGAAATTGTAGTACGAGGTATCTTTGATGCCTGCCATGGCGATTGCGTAGTTCTCTTTCGTTCTTTTTGGAAATACTGCTAATTTTCTGGAAGTACAGTAAATTTTTCAGTTTTATAATTTAATGAGCGTCCATGGAATGGTGTTGGACATATAAAACACAATTTTTTTATCTTGCACCCTTCATTACAAATGTTACTTATATTGGATCAGCAGTTGACTACAAATACATCAAAACAGATCTTTAGAATCATCCTAATATAACAATGTATGTATTATCAGTTTGCTTTTAGTATAGTGTCACTTATTTTGGTGACATATTCGTACAACGGTTTATGCACAGGAAGTAAATATTTCACAATATTCAACTAATATTTTTTGTTAACCTTTCAATAAAGAAGTTAATGGATAAATATGTTTTATACAGGGTGGGGGCAGAAAGACCTCCCCAATTTGGAAATCGTCTAGCTACGCCAATGGGGGGCTAGCGCAGTGGGGGAGTTATCATTCGACGTGTCTATTCCTGAAATTTTTAGTATAAATCATGGCTTGGTCAGGACCACACACTATCCTACATAGTCGAAATGTCGACATTTCATCGGTTTTTTTGACATTATATAGGTTTTTTACGTAGTAAGCCTTTTCACAATCTATGATGCTTACTCGATTAACATATAAATGAGATGAAATACTTAATGCATCACATCTTACGTTACTGAATGGGTAAATTGTCCTTCTTTCCCATCAATGTCTCTGTCTTGGAATATCTCTGGTGCGGAGTACCTTTGCCGGAAGTAAGTTTCCATCGTCTCTTCCGTAAATTCTACGTTGTCTTTGCATGCTAGTAAAAATAACGCCACCTTAAAAAATAATTATGTTAATTTTACTTGAACCTACTATAGTCAACAGTGTGAGTGTGAGAATAATATGAAGTTTCCTCAAACTAAACATAATTCAATTTCAGAAACTAACATAATTTGTGAAAAAACTCATTGGACACGAAACTTTCACTTCAATCGTAATTTTTGATGAACTAGTCTTGTCGCCCAAAAATACGTCAAATCTGACCCTCGAATGGTTATTCATTAGCATCAATGCATATAAGCAATGGTTTAGTTAGAGCCGTTTAGACAGTTAACTGTCAAGGCAATCAGATCTAAAGCATATTTACATTTTAGTCTTGAAGCGGTTTAAACCACTTATACCTCAGCAGGCATAACGGATAAGCTAAAAATGTAAGTATAGATATCATTGAAGCGTAAAATCGCCAATTCCTGTATAGGCTGGAACACGTTTCTATGACGATGATCGTTGTGCTTTTCCAAGTTGTTATTCGCTATTTTTTATCGCAGCGCACTGCTCGTAATAATTGTTATCCACATCTCCGCTAACGATGAGGTAATAAAAATTAAGGATTAAATATTGGATGCAACAAAGGCATTTACTTTATTTATATTATGTCACGTAGCTAGAGATATAGAAGGGTGAAATGTCGTGGTAGATCAAGTCTGTGTTTATTTACTTTTAATATTTCTAATAATTTAAATTATCCGCGTATTTTTCGGAATAGATCGACAGTGGAATTGAACTCAACCATATTACCAGCCTGGCTGAGTTTTGATTTAGTGCGATTCCGGAAGTCTGTTTATTGTGTCGAAAAGTACCACGAAGAAAATGAATCTGTATTTTCGGAGTGTCCTAGTGACCTCAGTCGAATGAAAAGAAGTTATTTTCTGAGAAGGGAGGCTATGAGACTAAAAAAGAGTTTTGTTTCAAGAAGTTACATGCGAGCATACACGAGGGTGGGTAAAAATATTTTACAATGATATTTCGTATTGCAAAATACTTATTCACACTATGGACGCAAAAAGGCACTAGGGGTGACTCAAAATGGACCATGACGGTATTTTTAGAGCTGCGATAAAACATGATAGCTTCAGCATCGACGTGTGATTACGTGTAGTGAAGAGAAGTGTCTGCAAAACATAAACAAGATTCTCCGTCGGGACGTGTGGTGGGAATGGGAACGAAGATTCATTGTAGTACCTGCTCTTCAGACACAGGTGGCATCCGAGGATTAGCTGCCGTCCATTTTTTTACTGCCTCGATGTTCTCTTTTGATGTTCGACCTTGTTTCACAATATCATCAGCTTTGAACTGATACTTGGGTATCACAGACATTATATCATCTGAAACAATAAAAACCACACTAAAAATTCAATCATGCGCTAGAAACTAAGATTATGGCTCTTTGCAATTGCGAAAAAACTTATCAGCGCCATTGTCATAAGCCGGAAAACTGGTGTAGTTAAGTAAATGCTACATGGATATTTCTAAAGCAACTGTCAGCGTATCCCCAGTTCTGAATTAAACAAAATAGAAAAAAACCCTTTCAGAAGTCTTGTATAAATACTGCCGTACACTTAGCTCCATTTACTGTCTTTTTAAACGTTGACGCCTATACATTTCCTTTATGATTACAATTACCAAATATGTTTATCATTGAAGATGTTATTTAACAAAAATAGTTATTTTTTTCAGTTTGTCAAATATCTTATTTTAATTACATTTACTAAGCATAAAAGCAGTAAATCAATTTATCGAAGTAAAATAGCAGTAGTAGTAGTTTTCAAACTATACTATCTTTATTCTCTGTATGATACAAGTAATGCCTTTTTAACCTTTATTATGATTCTAATAGTGACATAGAAAACACGTGTTCCTTATTTTATTACCTTTATCAGTTAGATTGTTGTTGTTTCAAAGTGAAACACAGTTCTGAGCTACGTACAATCTCTTCGTGTTGTCCAATTAATAATATAACAATAAGCATTCAAGTAGTCAAACTTTGTTTGTAGTCATTTGTTGTATAAAAAAATCAAACTTCCAAAACTTACCAAAGGTTATAGGATTAACTTGTTTTAAAAGAAAAGTTTTGTAAAATATTTTTCGTTTAATATTTAGAAAATTTACTGATTTATGTTTAATTATTTAGTTTTTTAACGAAATAATCCTATTATTTGTTAAGTCAGTTTCATTTCGATGTTTTGTGGATTTCTTCTTATAAAAGGTGAGACCTTATCCAACCAATCGATCGAGCAGCCTGTATTCAATTCAATAGGCAATATTCGAGAAATGGTGACTGAGATGATGTTTTGCTAATGACTATCATATATCACTATGGATTTTCATCATGCAAATATCATAACATCTAATTTTTTTAAAATATATATTTGAAGGTTTTCGCTTAACAAAAAATAATTTTTCATGTATGGATACTTGCTTAGAATAAAACCTACCCGCTGCCGCCTATTATCTACATGAGAAGGTTTCCGAGGATAGTTCTGTAAGGCAGTACGATTACGTTTAGATCAAAAACAGACAATACAATGGGTGTTTCGTGCATTGCTTAGAATGTTGGCAAATGCTATAGAAATCGAATGAGATTCGCCTAAAGTGACTAGTCGCATGTTTGATTTTGTATTTTTATGATTGATAATACTCACTGATGATTGGAGAGCTTATACGTACTTAATTCTTACCAGCATTTCAGAAATAGGTTATCCTATTTCGAAGACGAAAGAAAACAGCATCTCATTGCAGAACGCTCCTTGGCATTCAAAACCAATGATGTTTCCGTTTCAAAAACACATCCAGAACTATCACATGCTATCAACTAAAAACTGAACCAATACATTTTTGAATCATAACAAAACCAGACTGAAGCTCCGAGTGTAACTGACCTGAATGTACCGATTCTAAATTTAAACTCACCCAACTATTTTGAGACATGTAGTTGTGCACTTTTCGAACTTGCGGATCACGCTTACTGTCTTTTAACAATCATATATAGTTAACAAATATATAATTATCATACATAATTACCATCTATTGCCGCGAAGAACATGACATTATACTTTACTACATATTGATACCCAATGTCCCGATTTATCTTTGAAGTCTGATTTTTTTGTTTACTTGAAATAAAATAGTTTGACACCTATAATGACATATTAAAGATACGTTTGCAAACGAACATTTTTTCGGTTGATCATTCTACCGGATGGAGCTCTTCAAAGAAAAAAATACGAGGGCAGTTTGATAAGTGTGTGACTTTTTAAATAAAAAAATTTTTTTTCGGCAAATAAGCATTTTATTTCTCAGCATAATCTCCTTTCAACTCGATACATTTAGTCCAGCGTTTTTCCAATTTCTTAATTCCTTCCAAATACTAGTTCTTATCAAGGCTTCATTCAAACCAAATTTCTTACCACCCAGCTATTTTTTCAGGTTTCGAAATAGGAAGTAGTCGCTGGGGGCTAAATCTGGAGAATAGGCTGGATGGGGCAGCAGTTCGTAGCCCAGTTCATGAATTTTTGTACGGGTAAATGATACCACATGCGTCCCAGAAAACTGTGGCAATAACCTTGCTGGCTGACAGACCCACCTTGGCCTTCTTGGAAGCACGCTCACCATGTGAAACCCACTGTCTTGATTGTTCTTTGGTTTCTGGTGCATTGTGATGAATCCATGTTCCGTCTACAGTTACAAAACGGCGCAAAAATTTGTTCGGATTGCGGCTGAACATCGCCAAACATTCCCTTGAAATGCTCACACGGTTGCGCTTATGGCCGACTGTGAGCAATCGCGTCATCCATCTCGCGGATAGTTTTTTCATGTCCAAGTATTCATGTAAAATATGATGTACCCGCTCAGTGAAGATGCCTACAGTCTCAGCTACTTCTCGTATTTTTATTCTCCGATCTTCCAATCGCATTCCATGGATCTTATCCACGATTTTTGGTGTGATGACCTCTTTTGGGCGACCTAAACGTTCGGCATCACTTCTTCACCATTGAAATAGATGGTGCACAGTCCCCATAGTATTTGTCAAGCATTTCCTTGGTTGCAGTGATGGTTTTTTTACGCAAAAAATAATCCATCCATTTTTGTTAGAATTTATGAGACTGTCTACTTTCAACGGCTGTCAGACTCAAATGAAATGACATAGCTTGTTCAAGATTTGACATTTGTCATATGAAAGAGGGCAGTTGACGGCAGCAGTGTTGCATTCAAAGTTACTGCGCGGGAAATTCAAAAAGATAGATTATCAAACGGCCCTCGTATAAAATAATCAACAGACCGAAAATTAGGCGAATGAAATTACAGTTATGCAAAAAATTATCTAATTAAAGAAGTATTTTGGATTTTGGAGTTTTGAAGAATATATCATTGAAATGTCAGCAGCAGATGTGGTCAATTATATCTATTCTGGAATTCGTACTTTCGACGACGTGTCCGAGCATTTCGAGTAATTTTTGGCGGCAGCTATCACGCTATGATAACACACTATTTGTTGCTAATGGAAAACTTTACCAATCAAGAATTGGCGGATATGCATTTGGCATACGGAGCCACCAGCTGCAATGCACGAGCAGCAGCGCGGTTGTATCACGAACGTTATCCCGAACGACACCATCCGGGATACAAAAAGTTTATTGCTATTCATCGGCGGCTCTCCGAGACAGGCATGTTTAAACCAACATGCATGGTACTGGTGTTGCTAGAACCGTAAGAACGGTCGAATTTGAAGAAGAGGTCCTTTAGCGAGTTGCCGACTAACCATCAAGTAGCACACGTCACATTGCTGAGGATATAATAATAATAATATTTATTATCCTCATTAAACAGTATATACAGAGTTTACAAACAAAAAAGCCTTAATAGAATAAAGGGCTACATCAGCTTGACCCTTAAAGGAGCAGCTGCTAGAGCAAAAAAAACAAACAAATTTAAACAATTCTATAGTAATACAAATGACTATTAAGACATTGATAATTAAAAATGTTTCAATATTAAGAAATATAGGGAAGTATAGTAAGTAGAGAAATGGAAATTTAGAGTGAGAAGTGAAAGCGAGGGGAAAGAGAAGAACAGAAAAGGGGGAGCAGGAGATGTGTTTTCTATGATATCTAAGACAGTAAATCACTTTTAAGGTTCCTCTTAAATGTAGCTACCGAGAGAGAAAAATCTTTAATTTCGAATTTATTTACCAAAAAGGCAATTTGATATGAGAAAGATTTTTTAAATGATTCTTTATTGTGTGATGGTATTGTAATTAAATTCAATCTTCTGATGTTTAGATTATGTACATCAGTCCGGTAACTAATTTTTAAGTGAAGTGGGCTTTTATATTTTATAATCTTGTAAAAAAAGAAAGTAGTGTACAAGGTACGCCTCTGAGGTAGTTTGTCTACTCCTTATGCCAAATATCAGTCTCAGACAAGAATTATGAGCTTTTTGAACCCGTTTTCGTTCCACACTATCAAGGAATGTGCCATACACCATATCAGCAAAGTTGAAGTGGGACAACACTAAAGCTTCGCAGAGCGTGGCTTTAGTATTTTGTGATAGGTAATGTCTATGGGGGTAAATTATTTTTAAAATTGAATACGCTTTTCTTAGGTAGAGAGTAATGTGGTCTCTAAACTTAAGTTTAGAGTCAACCACTAAGCCCAAATCCTTCACGGAATCCCTAAATGATATTATATTGTCCCCTAGTTTGACCTTAATATTATTTTCTAATACGTTTCTGTAGGAATCACTACAAAACAATATAGCCGTCGATTTACTAGGGTTTATCTTTAACAAGTGATCTTCAGAGGTTTTGAGAAGGCTATTCAAGTCGGTATTCAGTCGGTTTGTTATAAGCTCTGACAGATCAGGTTTACGAGTACGCTTCCGTCTGGCGAGTGCAACACGAGCAACAACTTTATCCTTACCACTTCCAGAAAGTGCAAGGATTGACTGCAGCTGAGGTGGAGCAGTTTCTTGGCCTCTTAGGTCACCCGATTTAACGTCGCTAGATTTTTTCCTGTGGGGACGTGTAAAGTCTTTAGTTTACGAAACTCCAGTAGAAATAGAGCAAGACTTAATTGGATGAATTAAAGCAGCATTTGAAATCATTCAAAACGAGTATCAAATTTTTAGTAAAGTCCGCCGAAATCATGTGCGACGTTTAAATCGGTGTATTCAGGTTGGAGGAAGACATTTTGAACAATTGTTGTAATGATATCATGTACAAAAGGCAAAAATTAAATGTATTAAATCCTATTTAGGCAATTCATCGTCTTTCTAAATTTTAACGCGTCTTAGGGCCTTAGTGCCGTAATGACACTGTTCCGGATATGGGTCCCTATGTTCAAATGTTTTCTAGTGTTACACTCAATAACCCCTAGAAGTTTGATCCCTTAGTTCTGAAACACCCTATATTGGCCGCCTAGATCAGGTTACTTCATACCACTATAGTTTTTATAAGACAGTACGATTAAGGAACTTAGAATAACTCACCAAATACCGGTCGAAATGCACGGGTGCGCTATCGAAAACATCAAAGTGGACCACGTTACCCTCAGTGATGGTCATAGTTTGAATAATCAGTTTTTCCAGAAAAAATAGCATCAAGAAAGTTGAATTAGGCTTCACAAAATGCATTAATACTGGAGCAGCTTCTTTAGCTTATGCCGTAAAACAATTGAGGGTGCCTTCCTCGCAAAGGTGACGAAAAGTGGAGATCTGTATTCACGACTTGTATTGTTTACTAATCTCTTTTTAACCTGCCTGTTTTTGCGATTTGATATTGATGTTTGACATCTTTTTGGAAAGATGACTATGTGGGCAGTTTTTTCTAACAATTTGTATGGTTGATGTATTAGCAATTTTAGGGCTATGGACATATGTATTTGTTAAAAGGAAAACTGAAAACAAAAGATAATGTATAGCTGTTGTATTGTATCCGATATTTTTGCACCTCTTACGGTTGCATTAACTTATTTGCAGCATAATCTACGAAACTGAATTCAATTCTTTCGCATTTCATATAGTTTTATTATTCTTTATTCAAATGTCCAATTTCGGGTGATTGTTAAAAAAAATTTAAAACAGAAAAATGTCTACAACCAGTGATTTTCGACCCTGCGTCTTTTGAGCAAAACTTGCTCTATTTTAGGTCCCTTTTCACGTTCTGGAAGGAACACAGCGAATTATCCGTAATCCTGCATAAGCAACCTTATGCCGTTTTATCTTGCTTATAAAGACAAGAACGTACAGTGTTAACATTAACTAACCTGTATAAATGAATGTGCCAAGGTGGAAAATGAGGAATGATGGGAGCTGTAGTTGCTGCAGAAAGTGGATAATCGGCTTGATTGAAAAATAATTTCAAATGGACATTAGGTATATCAAACAACTTACTACCTAAATATTCGCTAGGAAATATGTGGATCCTCATTTTCTATATAATTCATTGTTACTCGTTGACCAAAGTAATGGTAAAATGATTTTTTGCAAAAATCGGAAATATGTTTAAATTTCAACTTAATCGACGTTGATGGTGGTAAGAAAACTGGGCTTAACCATCCTTTGTGAACACTGAATGCGAGCAGAATAACATAATGGATTGAAAATATGAAACCAAACTGGTGTAACTGAAACATACTCTTTTTGAAGCCATGTCGAATGATAAAAATGTGGAGTACCTACTGGTGAAGATAATATCTACCTATGTGTGAACAGTGACTTGTCTGTAATTATTATGAAAGTGTACTGAAACTTACCCAACTGCTTCAAGACCAGTGCTTTATGCAAACGCTGATTCCAAACTCACAGTTCACACCAGCTGCATTATCGTCAAATACTCCCAATTAATAAATAATCGTTAATCGTAATTGCAATGTTTTCGCGAAGAACACGACATTATACTTCTCTTACATGTCCAACATTTTAGCTCGATAGATAAATGGCGGAATTGCGTATATTGATTGAAATTGTGCACTTTATCCCGCAATGATTTATAATTAAGTCCTTTTGTTGTTTGTTTCGCCAACCTGACAATTATGGTTTGAAATAGGTGCATGGCGTTGTATTGACTGGAGGTAAAAATTAATGCAGGCGACGGCATTGGTATCTGGTGATAGTAAAAGTATAATGATATGCGGTATGCGCTTTGTTTGCCATATCACATGTGAACTGTTCGGGTATATACAGGGTGTAACATTGTGTTGTGGACAGATTTAATATGGAAATATTCTCATATATCTAAGCATATTTTTGGAAACGCTCTTTGCAATATTGTACTGATTAATATAATAAAAGAGAACTTTCGTATGTATGGATGTCAGGGTAGTCGTATAGTTGTCCTTCCGTCCAGTAGAGTGCGCGACATCTTCCCGTTATCAGTAAGTACGTAAATTGATTATTGATTTGTTGAAGAATAAGCATTCTGCAATTTTATTTATGTACTCAAAGACTTTATCAAGTAGAATTTTGTACAGGAAGAGTGAGACACTGCTATTTTCAATAAAATGCAAATATAATTGCTGCCACAACCATCTAGATATTGTATCAGATTTGTGTTTTGTTTCGAATATGGCGCAAATGTTTATTTTTCGTTGGTGCATTATATCACGGCCGCTAATTTAGTATTTGGACGTAAATGAAAAAATGAGTTTTCGTAGCATACTTCTTGATTTATTGTGGGAATTGAGGGCCCATCTTACACAAAACGAATAATTATCCTCTATTTTGAGAGACATTTTATAGGTAGTTGACCATATTCATTAGAACCAGTACTTCAAAGACGCTTTTTCATTGGATGAAGTTTCTGCGTCCCGAAATCGGAACTAAAGTATGCAAAGCTTCTAAGCTGCTGCGGGTTGTAGGGCGTAACAGATTGGAAATCTTGCATTTGTCATTAGTAAAGACATTCCATTAATTATAATTTTCTGACTCCAGTACTACGTATATGTTACGCATATTTCGTGTACATCTTCCTTACATTTCCTCTGAGTCAGTGCTATGATAAATCTATTCTCGATTATGTGACACTTAATATACACCATATTTGTTTAAAATTTTGGAGAGATTTGAGTATTTAAACATACTTGATACACATAATTTGTGTCAACTTTTCATGAAGAAATGTTTAATATATTTATGAGCTGATGATAGTTTCTTCTATTGCCTAATATTATGCTTATAATGTACAGGGTGCGGCAGAGAGGATGGACGGTTTTAAAAAATTCATAAAATAGTTAATTTTTACTCGAAAACAAATTTATTGATCGAATCAGGTTCACAAGGATATAGCATTTGAGACAGTCAAGTGTGGAAAATCACATCAGGCATGTGGTGGCCGAAATCGTCCAGAGTTCGGGGCTGCTTCGCGCATACGCTAGCCTTGCGGTGTCCCCATAAGAAAAAATCGCATATGTTTAAATCTGGGAACCGAAGAGGCCAATGAATATCGCCAAACCTGGAAATAAGGCGACCAGGGAAGAGAGGGCGAATAACGTCCATGGATGCTCGGGCTGTGTGGGCGGTCGCCCCATCCTGCTGGAACCACACAGGTCGGATTGGAACACTTCGTCGTAATTCAGGGAGAAAGAAGTTGGTGATCATGTCGACGTAGCGCTCTGAGTTCACGATAACATCACGACCATTACCGTCTTCGAAGAAGTAAGGGCCAATGATGCAAGTTTGCGATACACCGCACCAAACCTTTTGGGCTGTGCAGCGGTCTTTCGTGTAACTGTTGCGGATTTTCATTAGCCCAATAACGACAATTCTGCTGGTTAACCCTGGCTAACCATGCTGTTTAGGTGAAAGTGGGCTTCGTCACTCATAAACAAAATGAGGTTCTCATTTTGATCGATCAGTGCTTCCATCTCAGGTGCAAAGTTCATTCGTTGTGCATAATCTTCGGGCTGTAACTGTTGCACAATGGCCAATTTGTAGGGGTGAAAGCGGAGATCCATATGCAAAATTCGCCTTACCGAACGATCACTAAGGCGAAGTGCAGCAGCATGTTTCCGGGCAGATCGAGTCGGACTGCGAAGAAAGACCTCTCGAACGCGTTCAATATTTTCAAGAGTTCGAACTGTTCGCGGCGCTCCTCTTGGTCTTCTGTTGATCAGTTCACCACGCCTGCGAAGTGATTCAACCCAACGAAGGATGGTGTTTCGAGAGGGAACAGCTCTATTCCGATGAATGTTGAAGTGGCGACGAAACTCACGCTGTACGACGATGACTGACTCATTATTTCGGACGAAACAATCATAGGCGAAAACGCGGTGCTCCACCGTCCAAGGCTCCATAACGATAACTGGTAAAATAATGCTAGGATTGCACGAGTCAAACGGCACCCTCCCCACCTCTCTCGTAGACGGAGGCGGAGAGTACCATCCAAACAACGTCCGTCCACCCTGTATTAAGAGCAAATGTACGGAAACCTGTCATTTACTTCCCCTGTAGTGCGACCATGAATGAAATTGTCTGCATGTGTTTTGTGTAGCCTTGAATAATTTGATATGGGATAGCGATAGATGAGAAAGTACATTGAATAATATCATGCTAAATAGTTTTAATACGTAAGAACCAAAATATGTTTAATTTAATTTGGATTAATAAAAATTATTCATTCAGAAAAATACTCAATGTAGTGTTCTAAATCTACTAAAATTACATAACGCAAGGAAAGTAAATTCAAATTTAGAAAATTGCAACTATCCCTGTTTTAGTATTGACAGTTGAGAGTGCATGTTTGTCTCAGCAGCTAATCGAAAGGTGGAATAAACAGGTTGAGGTGGGGTATAGTGTCCTATGGTTTACATTTAGATCTATGCCTTTGCCTAATATTTTGATTACTATAAAATTTGACGCGTCTTATATAAGGGACCGAAAAAATAAGTTAATGTTTAAAAATAATTTGTTTAATAAGCTATCGTTTTCTAAAGATCCATCGCAAATGGAGTCTTGCTACGCTAGTGTGACAAAGCAGCAAACACTCTCGCTTGCTGAATGTTAAATATTACCATAACATTGCACAATCTTGAGTGAGCTTGAATTCTTACCAATCTTACAACTTAGATATTGTAAAAGTTTCTCTGCACTTGTAGAAAAAAACTATGTCACTCATTTCAATCGGTCTGCCGGGCTGTCTGTTGGTCCGTTCGCTAAGCCTTTTGCCCGTCTATAACTTGAATAGTACTGGTCGAATGATGGAATTTTTACACAAGACTATGACTATGTTAAGGATGAAAAAGCTTTAGAGTTTTTGAAAATCGACTCAATGGCGGCGGAGCTATGGGCAATAAAGCAAAAAAATAAAAATCACCCAAACTCCGTTTTTCGTTTTAGTTGTAGGGGGCTGAAAATATTGCATCTTTGATATCAGCGAATAATATTCTATTATTGAGAAACTTCTGATCCTGGTAATAATTAGAAATTTAAATGAAAGAAATGTGGTGAATGAGTTACTCACAATCTATATGAAACTCTGTCCGGTCTGTCAGCATTACATCTGAACGGATAGAGATGAATGACAGCGATTTATGACATTGATAAATTTTTGAACAACGAGAAATGTGTTAAATGAAGTTACAACAATTTCGTAATTGCGGTTTTCCATCGTTTATGAAAGTAAATAGACGTTATACTTCCCATTCATATTGCTCGAGTACATGTATGGAGTAGTGGTGAGTCACAAGGATGCTACTTGACAGAGAGAGTAACTAAGGCCTGTCTGTCTGTTGTCTGTTCCCTCATTTTGAGCCCCCCTTAAACTCGGAAAGCACCCATTTGAGGAAATGTTGACATAAAGGGCCTACTATGATAGGAACCAGAAAGCTTTGTAGGTCTTGAAAATTGATGCAGTGACGTCAGATCTACATAAAAAGATTGCGTCGATCAGTTTGACTGTGCACTACCCACGCAACGCCCTTCTAGGACTATGTTCAGAACAAACTAGAGCCTATGAAAAAAAGTAAAGCAAATAGGTCCATACAACTAATAGACATTCTTACCCTACCCTACCGGTAGTGCACCAGGAAACGTCGCTTCTCTCCGCTACTTAACTCCGTCAGATGTGGCACCGTGGTAGCGCGGTCAGAGCGTAGGTAACACTATGCTATGGTGCAGTAGAAATATATGTGATACCATACCAGAGAATATTAATAGAATATCAAGTCTTAAGGGCGAATGTACAGAGAAACCTGTGAAGTGTGAAATACGAGGGTTGTTGCAAAAATAAGGTTCCCAACCCTGTAGCTCTGCCGCGCGCAGGGGCGTAGCTATCCTAGGGCAAACCGGGGCAGTGCCCCGGGGCCCCGGCTTATAGGGGGCCCCGGCCATGCGCCTCAAAAAAATTGTTTTTAAGCGCCGATCAGCAATAATACATATTTGAGGAAAACGCTTGCGTTCCTTAATGAATGTAGCTATAATCCGTCGGCCCGCGACGGGCTTGGCACCACCGCCTTAATATTACGACTCGTCTTTGGGGATTCCCCGATCTATTGTTTTGATGATTTTAACTACACAGCGTGCCCTATGTGATATTGATATGTGTCGTAGTCGTGCCGTGGTGCCCGGCGTGGTGTAAAATAACATTACTATATTTATATTGTGACTATTGTGTCTCGTTATAATAAGGTACCTATTAGAAAAAAAGTGTAAGTTATATTACTTAATGAATAAATGGCTCGATTTTGATTTGTGCGTAATTTTGTTTGTAAATGTACATTTGTCCATTACCTTGCTGAGTAAAGGCGCCCGCAGAATTTCCGTAACGTAAGACTTAAGAGTTAAGTTTCATTTAAGACAGATTAAGACTTAACCGCAAGGAATTATACAGAATTATGATCAGGTGATTTATAAATATATATATATATATACAAGGCGTAAGTCTGGGCTTAAGTCTTTTGTTACGGAAACTCTGCGGGCACCTTAAACCCGACACTAAATTCGAAAAGCTTCTTAAAGACTAAAAATGATCTATTGACTGTTTCAAAAATATCGACTAATTTTTTTTCTCTTAAGTATATCGAACAAATTGTAAGAAATGACGAAAAAAAATCCTGTAAAAG